AATCCTCCTGGCAGCCGGCCTCACGCTCTTCCGTTCACGCAATGGCTACCTGCTGACGCCAGATGCCATCGCCCCTGAGCATATCCAGCGCGTCATCCGCTGCAAAAGCATCCAGCAAGGGACACATGCGCAAACCCGTGCATGCAGTGACACCTCATCTTGTCTGTCAGTACAGCTTTACTCATTTGCTGCCCAGGCTGCTTCCTGCTCTCGGCGCCCGTCTGGGTACCGTCATAGGTCGTGGGCTCGGCACGGAGCAAACGGCAGACTGTATCTGAGTAGGGTGTGGAAGTTCAGATACGTGCCAGCTCCTTTCCGTCGGAGGTGGCATCGACTCACCAGGGCCAGGGTGAGGCGCGCCCTTCTGTCTGTGCAGGGCTTGCAAGTTAGACTGCTAGGTAGTTGCGGAGCAGCCGTTTCATGCCTGCATGCCCGCCGACTTGCGCAGATGGACCAAGATAGAGGTAACTACTGGAGGCCCCACGGGGGACCCCGAAACCGCTATAGGGAGGATGGGACTCGGCGCCGCTCGGCGGGGGAGCTGGCCAAGCGGGCGACCAGAGCTGCTGAGAAGGCAGCACAGACGGCCCCCACTCAGGGGACCGCTGCAGCCGAGCCCGCTGCAGCGGCTGCAGCGTCTTCAACTGTGCCGCCGGCTACGCAGCAGCGGGTGGAGGCATCTTCTGGCAAGCAAGCCCCAGTGGTATCTGCCATGTCTGCCAACGCACCAGCTTTTTACCCTAACATGACGCAAGCGGCCCCTTTCCTGGGAGCCGGAGTTCAGACTTCCCAGCAGGTGCCTCCGATGGCTCCGTCACCTGTGCAACAGTCTGGGCATGGTGCCAAAGCTGCCATCACATGCTGCCCCACTCACACAGCCGACCAGGGGGCTTCAAACGCGCAGGCTTCGGTGTCTTCCACGCCCACACCTTTGCCAGGACCCCCCCAACAGCCTCTCACCAAAGATGTCTCTGGAGGCGCCACAGAACAGCAACATTCCACTGCGTCCCCCCAGAGGGTCGACGGATGGGCCCAGGCGACGCCGTCCAGGGTTGACAGCTCGACGCAGACGGTGCCGCCGCCGCCCCCGCCGCCTCCAAAAAGACACAGGTCAGTGCCGGCGCCAGTCCTGATACCCGCGGTTGCTTTTACAGCCACAGAATCCGAATGTGTTCGAATCTGGGGTATCTTCGACTCTGTCAGAGAGATTTCCCATCGTCTTAAAGCTGCCGGGCATGCTGAGCGGTATCGGGCCTTCTTGGCCAAAGGCCACTACCGCAAGTACCACTCAGCCTTTCACAACTCTCCGGCCACCTCGGGTGTGCCGCGCGTGGGCAACTGGTGCGTGGGTGCTGCGGCGACCTGTCTGCTTCCCGAGGTCCACGTCTTTTTCCCAGGAGACCAGCCGGAAGCTGTGGGAGACGCGACAGAGGCGTGGTTTGGCCGGGAATGTGGTGCGACGCTCCCTCATGAGCCTCTCCAACTTCCACCTCCTGCTGATGTGGGTCTCGAAGCCTCCCGATATGAGTGGAAGCAGGACTTCTGTGCGCTGCTCAACCTGACCCACTCTCTCCACGAAGGTATTCCGACAGGCCTGTATAGGAAGCTTCACTGGTGGGACTCCTTAGCAAATAGGGAACTAGCCTTTGCCCAGTTTTTTCCGCGCCCGAGTGGGCTGACGGCCCCCCAAGGGGACCGAGGCGCAGCTGCAGAGCCACTGCGGCCAGGGCGTCGTCACTTTCTCACGCCTGACTCGGACACCTCAGCTTCAGTGGCATTTTACGAGATGTGCTGTAGGCAGTTGCTTCGGTTAAAGCTGCGAGTCACACTCGTAAGTTCCTCAAGCCTCTGTCAGGTACGTGGCCTGTTTTCGCGGAATCAGGCCTGGTGGCTCTGGCCTTGGTTGCTTGCTCTCATGTTCAAGCACTTTCTCAAAGTTAACTTCAGCTGTGTCAGTTATGCAATGTGCCAACGCACGTCGAGCCGTCCCGGTCCCAAGTCCGGGGCTAGACACACCTATGTGTTTCTTCTCGTGATTTTCTCGACCTTGGTGGTGTCTAGTGGTGTGAGGGTTGGTGGTCAGGGTACCTCCCCGCCACCCGGAGGGGCTGGTGCTCCAGGTCTCTCTGTTAACAAGGCTGTCCCGAAGCCTAGAGGTAGGAATGTTCCTGACTTGCTGGCTTCTCCCCCTACCTTCAAAACTGCAAAACGAGCCTTCCAGAGGGCTCTGCGTCGAGCGCAACTTCATGGTACCACCATGTATCGCGGCCGTTGTCGTACTTTACTACCCGGGTCCTCCCGGGGGGATTGTTCCGTTACTTGAGTCGGGGGGGGTGGGTGGGCGCTCCTTGGAACGTTGGATGCTGGCCTTTGGCAACTTGTGGAAAAGCTTTGTGGGTGTTTTCGAAAAACTCTGCTTGAAAGTGATTTGATTTGGCATGCGGTATTTGGCAAATTTGAGTGTGGTGAAGCCCTTGCAGATTTGACATCTTTCCAATTGATTGGGCATTGTTTGCTCTGCGTTGCTCGAGACCGGATCGTGAAATTTTTGATGTGAGAGGGAGCATAGACCTTCGGCGCTAGTCATGGCGCTGAGACTGCTAGTTCTGTCTGGTTGATGCTTCATTGGGTGAATGTCTGACGTGCACTGGTATGGGCTTGACACGTTAGATGGCGATCTCTTTCGTGAGGTATGCAAGTTTTATTCTGGGCCATTTCAGTTTGTGGCTGCCTGGGATGATGAGGAAGAATGCAGCCAGATGCTGCTGGAGTTCTTCGGTGGCACTCGTCCTGCTGACGAGCTAAATCGGCTGGTTCGGCGGCGCTGGATTGGCGTGCATCGGTGGAACGACGTGTATCGCTTCCCAGGCAAGTAGCAGAGGTGGTCCCACGTAGGCCAGTCAAGTTCCCACGTCGGGAGCAAAGCAAAGAGGAGATTTTCAGTGGCCTGGTGCTTGGTAGTCCGGCGCTAGCTTTGGAGGTACTGCAGAAGTCGATCCGACAACGGAAGCTGATTCATGGCGCGCAGGGCGAGAACCGTGAGGCTCTGCTGCGCGAGAAATGGGCTCTTGTGCTTGCGCAGTATATTGAGGAAGCTGGACTGCCTTGCGCTGCTAGGGTGGCTGCTTTGCCCAATCCTCGGGCAGCATGGTGTCGGCTATTCGGCACTCGGCGTGGGAAGACGCTCCGCAATCGTGCTCTGGCATGGCGCAAGTTTCATTCGTGGCTTGAGATTACCTTCGGCGAAAGCTGGCCGGGAGGAGTTGATCGCTTTGTAAAGTATCTCACTGAGCGACATGATATTCAGCCAATGGGAAAGACTGTACCATCTTCGCTTATGGCAGCTTTATCAGTGCTTGAGAGTGTTGGGCAGGTGCCAGCAAGCAGCAGGTTTTCGATGGATCAACTGCTTTTGAGCACGATCCAGTCCTGGACTGAAGAGCTCGAAACAGTGGCTTTGCCGGTCAGGAAGGCGCCTGTGCTTACTGTGGCTATGGTGTTGTCATGTGAGCTGACGGTCTGCAGGGCTACTCTTCCTGCGGGGCTACGTTTTCTTGCGTTTGTGCAGCTGCTCATGCTTTGGTCGACTATGAGGTGCGATGATGTGCAACACATTGATCCATTTTCAGTCACTCTGTCGCAGATCGGCTTGAAGTTCATTCTGCGCCGGACAAAGACCAGTGGACCGGGCCGGCGTACTGGCGAACTGCAAGGATATGTGTCAAGAGTGATTTCTTTGAGTGGTTTCGATTGGCTCTTGGAGGGGTACCGCTTGCTTCAGACGGCTGAGCTGCACTGGTCGCGGGATTATTTATGTCCAGCGATGGATGAATCCTGGAATGTTGGATTTTCGTATGTGGAGGCTCAGGATCTGGCTGTACTTCTGCGTCGATTGCATAAGGAGCTTCGGGTGCCCCTGTGCCGCGAGGGCACTTGGGGAACAAGTGCCACAAAGCTGTTGCCTGGGTCGGTGGCCGCGTATTGGACAGGTCATTCTGCGCGGCATACTCTGCCAACATGGGCACTCTCGCTGGGTGCGGACAAATCAAAGTGCGATTTCCTTGGACGTTGGAGATGCTCGCAAGGCGGCTCTTTGGATTATCTTACAACTGCTCGGCAGATCGTGCAGGGACTACAGAACTTCGTTTGCAAATCTTTGGTAGAAGGGACTGCAGAGGGTGGTTTGATTGAGGAGGAGCTCTTTCAGTCTATCCAGTCTTTTGCCGATGCAGCCGGGCAGGATGGCACTCAAGTGATTATGTGGCATCAGGTCCTCGAGTGGACCGATGACACGTGGAAGCTCGGAGGTGTTCACCCCTTGCTGGCGGTGGGTCCCGAGCGCTACGAGATTTCGCGGGGACGCCTGGAAGCTGAGTTGCCTGCTGAAGATAAGGATGCTGGGGAAGAAGAATCTTCGCTTCCGGACATGCCGTTCTTCGTGACAATTTCTCGCTCTGGGTTCCGCCGTTTGCATCTCTCCAAGGCCTGTGCAGTTCGACAAGAGCGCTGTATGGAGACTGTGGGAGTGTCAAAGATCTCGGAGGGCATTGCTGATGCGATCTGCAAACTCTGCCAGCCTAAGATATCTGCGGCGCAGGAGTCTTCCAGCAGTGGATCGGAAGATTCGCTGGCTCCGGGGAATGATGGACAGGGGGAGCCTCCGGGACCGGCGGAAGTTCCGGACTTGGATGATTCGAGCTAGTGTAGTGCTTCGGAAGGTGATTTGCGTGCTGAGTCGTAAAGTGTTGTTGGCTGTTGCACTTGCTTGCGTTCGTAAGGGCGGAATGATTGAGTTGAATGGTGGAGGCACGTTGCTCGTTGCGAGCACGAATGAAAGATGTGCCGATGTGATCAAGAGCAAGGGACTGAGATGTAGCTCAGTGCAGTCACAGGATGGCTGGAATGTGTTGTAAATCAGGGCCCTTCGCTAGCTCTGGTGGTGTAGTTGAAGGTTTCTTTTGAGTTTGTCCGGTTTTACTGCAGTTAGTGATACCACAGGCATGGCGGGGGGCGCGCCCGGTCCGCTCGATTACCCCAATGGCATCGATGAGGCAGCGGCTTTGCGGCATCTGGATGTGGAGGTGGCATCGGATCTGCGGCATATCTTCCAGGAGTGCGGGGTGCCTCTGCCTTTGCAATACCGCTTGAGCATCAACTTTCGTACTGTGAGACGCTTTGCGAGTTATGCTGATACAAGGGCGGAAGTTCGGGCTGCTCTTCGGACTGATCACACTCTGGATGCTACGGATCAAGCTTCCCGGGCCGTGGTGGCCTCTGTGGTAGCTGCTTGGGAAGCTTCCAAGGAGTATGCTGGCAAGGAGGCATCTCTCAAGGCAGAAGCGCGGGTCTTAGGTGTGGTGAGGCCAGTGACCCAGACAGAGAAGCAGGCTATGCGGGCAGCTTTCGAAGCTGTTCATGGATCCATTGAAGAGACCTACGAGCCTTCGGAGGAGTACTTGTCAGCCAAGATAGAGGAGGTCGAATCTGGTGAAGTGGCGGCTTCACCGCTTTCGGAGGTGATCTCAAAGAAGCGGGCCAAAACTCAAGGCATTCAAACCAGTGTGGACACGACTGGACATGTTCGCATCGTTCGTCAGAAAGCCAAAGGAAGTCTGCCTGCTCATACGGAGGAGCTCCGTACTGTCCTGCGCGTTGAGGCGAACATGTGGACTTTCCTGGCTAGCAAGTATCGGAACCAGGCCATGTTTCGTGGCATGACTCCAGCAGTGTGGCTCGACTATGTCAATTACTTGTTGGGGGACAAAGTCTACTTGATGCAAGTCCCGACTCCCGGGGGAAAGGGCAAAGGTGATCAACAACCACTTCGTCCTCCGTGGCAGGTGCTGCTCACATACGAGTATGAGATGCGTCGCGAAGCTGTCAAGAAGGCCTTCCGTGAGTCGCGAGCACTGGTGGATACGTTAGCAGAGGTTCAAGGGAATGCTCAGTTGAAGGAGCAATTCTTTGTGTCCCCCATTGCGCTACAAGGTCGCAGTGAGCCCGCCTGGAAACGTCCTTGGCAACCCGGTGGCGAATCTGAAGCAGCCTGGGGAAAACCCTGGGACAAGTGGCAGAAAGGAAATCGCAAGGGCGACTTCAAGGGTAGCAAGAAGGGCAAGGAGGCAAAGTCGGGCAAGAAGGGCAAGGACCGCAAGGGTGGTGATCTTGTGACTCGCACGCCCGACAATCGGCTCATCTGTTTTGCTTATAGTGGGGCCGGCTGCGACGGGAGCTGTGGCATGGTACATTGCTGTCAGGTCCGCGGCTGCGGCAAACCACATCCCACTTGGCAGCATTGGATGGAGCATCACGGTGCTTCGCGGGCAACAGATGGAGCTGGCGCGAAGAGCTGACTTTCGGTGCTGTACTTGTTTGCTGGCAAGCCTCGTGACGGAGACCTCGCAACACACTTGCGTCGCTTGGCTGAGGTGCATGGTTTCACTTTGAATTTGCGTGAAATTGACATTTGTCGGGATGGAACTAAGTCTGACCTTTCTCAAAAGGCTCTCTGGGATTCATTGGAAAAGGAAATTCGTTCGGGCGCTTGGGATGTGGTGATCTTGTCACCTCCATGTTCCACTTTCAGTCGCGCCCGATATAGATCTCGGCCGGATGGCTCCGGGCCCCGACCGCTGCGCTCCCGCTTTCATACGTTTGGTTTTCCTTGGTTGTCTGCATCGCACCGCGCACTGGTGCAAGAGCATAATTTCTTCGTTGAGCAGTGTGCCGCTATGATTCAACTCATGTCTTCGCTGGGGCATTTCTGGTTGCTTGAACATCCGGAAGATCTGGGTCGTCTGCCCAATGGCGATGACCCAGCAAGCATTTGGCAATGGCCTCAGATCCGGACTGCAGTGGGCGACGCCCCTTGTTGGGGCCTCCGCCAGTGCGATTACTCCGCAGATACTCCAAAACCTACTCGCTTGGCATCGAATCTGCCTGGGGCTCGCGTCTTTGGGTCTTCTTGGCCCTCCTTTCAGGAAGACGGCACATATGCAGGGCCCATCCTTCGGTGTGATCACCATCACGGACCGGGGGCCGGTTGGTCATCGGGCCAGTGGCGCACTGCAGGTACTGAAGCTTATCCATCCCCGCTTTGTGCCTTTCTTGCTGACCTGGTTGCCTCGGCACTTTCTGCTTCCTTTGGCACGGATGGTCCGGAACAGCATGCTGCTGAACAGTTTGCTACGTTTCTCTTGCAACAGGACAGGCCCCCTGCGCCACACGATGCTCAAGCGCTGATAACCCTCTTGCCACTGGAGGCCCCGCGTGTCAGTGCTCAGACTGCGGCTGGGCAAGCCTTCTTTGGCGGGGCTTACTGCAAAGGGGGAGTTGTTGGCCTTCGTAGGTCCTGCCGCGAATTCCCGGCCACCCTTCGGGTCCTCTGCACTTTGCTCCGCCATGCTTTTCCAGGCCAGATCTTCTCTTCTGTTGCGGTCTTTGTGGATGCCGCCACACAGATGCATCGGGATTCACATAATGCCCCCTATCCAAATCTTCTGCTAGCACTTTCGACGTTCTCCAATGGCCAGGTTTGGCAGCAGGATCAGAATGGGGATGTCTGGCGCACGGTGCATGGGACGCCATGTCCGGGGATCCTCTTGGATGTCGCTCAGGCACCACAGCTTCTGCGAGCTTGGGAGCGCTTTCATCAGACTGAACCCTGGTCTGGAGGTTCTCGGGTGGTGCTCGTTGGCTACTGCGTCCGCCAACTGCAGGCTCTTGATGTGAGCTCGCTGTCCTTGCTTTCGCAATTGGGCTTTCTGCTCCCGCCGTCAGTCACTGCTGGCGTTGCCCGGGGTGATACAGCAGTGACCTTAGCGGAGCCCTCGGGTCCTGTCGCCGATGCGGGGACGCCCCTTGCATCTAAGGTTGGTGGGCTTTTAGGGTTTGATAAGGAAAGGGCGACGGGACCTCATAACGCTGCCCCGGTGGCTAGTCCTGCTCCCGCCGCGGTTGGGGTTTCCTCCTCCCCTTCAGGTTTAGGGCCGCCGGGTAGTTTTGGGATTGCAGACATGTCGGACTGGGAGGAGGCAGAGGGAGAGTGATGTCTTCGATCAGGCCACGAGTCGTTGTTTTGGTCAGCCCATTAATTGCCGCAATCACCCGAAAGGGCGCATGTTTGTTGATGGGTTCGGCTTGTGCTCTCCGGGGCGCTGGCGTCCGGAACAGCGAGGCATGCTCTCAAGTCGAGAGGAGTGGCAGCATGCTGAGCGGGTGCAAAGGGCGATCCGGAACTTTGTGCTAGAGGAGGTTGGTGACTTGCGCAAGGCTGCTTTGCAACTGGCTGTCGGAAGGATGAAGTCGTCCCCCTTTAGTGAACAGGGCGTGCAGCGTTTGAGGCAGCAGGTTGCAAGCATGCTGCCAGACCCGGATCTGGCTTTGCAGGTCCCAGAGCGCCAGCCTTTCTTGTTGCACTTGTTGTCGCAGTCCTTGAAGTTGCTGGGCGATCCAGATTGGGCATGTCTCACACAAGGGGAGGAGTGCTTTGCGACGGGCGTGCCACTGGGTGACGAGGTCCCTTTGCCGCGTACGCCGCAGGTGTACCGGGAGCGTGTGAAGGAGCGGACCTTGGATGTCACCCCTTTCCAGCAGATCATGAATAACTATGAGTCTGCGGAGCTTTCAGCCGATAAGCTTGAAGAACATTTTGCTGCGGAAGAGCGGGCCGGTCGCATGATCCCGAGCACGGAACCTGCCCTGCGGGCAGAGTATGGTGACACGTTGCTGGTGGCATCGATGGGTGCCTTACTTAAACCGAATGGCGACATCCGTCCGCTGCACGACGGGACTCATGGCATTGGTTTGAACAATCGTATCAAGATACTCGATCGCTTGGAAATGCCGGGGCCGGATGAAATCCTTGAGACGGTGGCTTTGGGGCAGGAATCTAAAGAGGCAGTGTTCTGCATTTCTGCAGATATCGCTCAGGCTCACCGCTTGACCAAAATCCGCCGTGCCGATTGGGCCAAGCTTGGATGCAAGGCACGCAGTGAGGCGCGTACGGTTTGGGTAAATACCGTCGGCACGTTTGGGATTTCCTCTGCGGCCTATCACTGGTCCCGCTTGTTCGGCTGCATAGGCCGTTGGGTGCACAGGGTCATGCTGACCGTTTGGCAGATGCAAGTCGTGTTTGCGGATGATCTTCACCTCTTGACTGCTGGACAACACAAATTCCTCACGATGTGGATGTGCCTGGCTGCCTACGAGTTGGTTGGCACGCCGTTTGCCTATCGTAAGTTTCGGGGCGGTACTGTTGTGGATTTTGTGGGATATGAAATCTCATACACTGACCGGAGGGCTGGCATCTCCGAGCGGAGGTGCTCGTGGCTGGTCAAGTGGATTCTGGAAGCCGAGCAGGCTGATTGGATCGTGGTGGGGCGGTCGGTGATCGAGCTCGCTGGGAGGCTGTCCTTTGTGGCTCGCTTGCTGACTTGGATAAAGCCATTCTTGTCCCCCTTGCACTCATGGTGCGCTGTCCTCGCCCGAGGCACGGCGGTTCGAATGCCTGTGTTGGTTTATCTGTGCCTGATCTTCGTGAGGCGTCAGCTGCAGGATCGTGGACGCTTGGTGCGGCCTGTTGTAGACTGGCGGGCTTCTCGCCAGGCCTTTCGCACCGATGCCAAATGTGCTCCGAATCGTGTGGTCCTGGGTGGCTGGCTGTTGGGCAAGGAGGGAATTCCCCGGAAGGCCCCTTGGTTCTCTCTTGCCCTTTCCCCGTCGGAGGCACCATGGTTGTTTAAGCCGAATGGAGAATCACAGTGGGCCTCGACGGCTGCTGAGCTGCTTGCATCGTATGTCGCATTGGTTGCTTTCGGGTTGCTTGAGGGTTCACGTGCATTCGGGGATACCTTTGATGCTGTGCTGGTTGGTGGCACGGACAATCAGGCGACCCCTCAGGCGCAGGCCCGGGGTTCTTCTGCCTCGTGGCCACTTCTTGGCATCTTGATGCAAGTCACTGCAACTCTGCAGCCGCATGGAGCTCAGATGAAGTTGGTCTGGCGGCCGCGGGAGACTAATGTCGAGGCGGATGATTTGACTAACGAAAACTTTGCCTTGTTTGACAGTGAGCAGAGGGTCGAGCGGAGGTGCTCGTGGCTGGTCAAGTGGATTCTGGAAGCCGAGCAGGCTGATTGGATCGTGGTGGGGCGGTCGGTGATCGAGCTCGCTGGGAGGCTGTCCTTTGTGGCTCGCTTGCTGACTTGGATAAAGCCATTCTTGTCCCCCTTGCACTCATGGTGCGCTGTCCTCGCCCGAGGCACGGCGGTTCGAATGCCTGTGTTGGTTTATCTGTGCCTGATCTTCGTGAGGCGTCAGCTGCAGGATCGTGGACGCTTGGTGCGGCCTGTTGTAGACTGGCGGGCTTCTCGCCAGGCCTTTCGCACCGATGCCAAATGTGCTCCGAATCGTGTGGTCCTGGGTGGCTGGCTGTTGGGCAAGGAGGGAATTCCCCGGAAGGCCCCTTGGTTCTCTCTTGCCCTTTCCCCGTCGGAGGCACCATGGTTGTTTAAGCCGAATGGAGAATCACAGTGGGCCTCGACGGCTGCTGAGCTGCTTGCATCGTATGTCGCATTGGTTGCTTTCGGGTTGCTTGAGGGTTCACGTGCATTCGGGGATACCTTTGATGCTGTGCTGGTTGGTGGCACGGACAATCAGGCGACCCCTCAGGCGCAGGCCCGGGGTTCTTCTGCCTCGTGGCCACTTCTTGGCATCTTGATGCAAGTCACTGCAACTCTGCAGCCGCATGGAGCTCAGATGAAGTTGGTCTGGCGGCCGCGGGAGACTAATGTCGAGGCGGATGATTTGACTAACGAAAACTTTGCCTTGTTTGACAGTGAGCAGAGGGTCAAGGTTAGCTGGGACGACATTCCGATGGATTTTATGCGAGAGCTTGCCGCGGCTCACGAGGATTTCCTTGAAGCTAAGTCTTTGGCACGGGCATCTTCAGGTCCTAAGATGAAGAGTTCGAAGAAGCAGAAATTGGCGGAGAGAACCTCGTGGTGAAACTGATTGCAGGAAGGAGGGGCACGACGCTCCGGACGCCTGCGGGAGGGGTGACTCGCCCGGATCAACGTGCTGGGTGATGCATCCTGCTGCTGATATGCATGGGTCCGTTCCATCCTGCACAAAAGAGAGAGCGCGTCAGATGCTGTTTGTGAGTGATTGCTGTGGTGATGTTTAGTCATGAAACTTTATGCGCATCGCGCTTGCACCCGACCCTTCGCCTCAAGTGGAGGAACAAACTACCCGGGTCCTCCCGGGGGGATTGTTCCGTTACTTGAGTCGGGGGGGGTGGGTGGGCGCTCCTTGGAACGTTGGATGCTGGCCTTTGGCAACTTGTGGAAAAGCTTTGTGGGTGTTTTCGAAAAACTCTGCTTGAAAGTGATTTGATTTGGCATGCGGTATTTGGCAAATTTGAGTGTGGTGAAGCCCTTGCAGATTTGACATCTTTCCAATTGATTGGGCATTGTTTGCTCTGCGTTGCTCGAGACCGGATCGTGAAATTTTTGATGCCCGCCCGCCACGTCCCAAAATTTCCCCTAATCGCCGGTTGCCCGTGTCTGTCCCGGCTCCTTGTGTGGTTTGTGTTCCCTAGGGTTTAGGTCCCTCTAATACCTCAGCACTTGCTGAAACTGCTTTGCCGCCCGCTGGCGCTGGCTTGCCACTGACAATTCTCTTGTCAGTCCGATTAAATCTTGACAAAGGCTCTGCCACTACGTGGGCACTATGTGCCTGGATTCACTCGTTTCACCAGGGGTGACTCGCCCGGATCAACGTGCTGGGTGATGCATCCTGCTGCTGATATGCATGGGTCCGTTCCATCCTGCACAAAAGAGAGAGCGCGTCAGATGCTGTTTGTGAGTGATTGCTGTGGTGATGTTTAGTCATGAAACTTTATGCGCATCGCGCTTGCACCCGACCCTTCGCCTCAAGTGGAGGAACAAACAGGAACTGGGTGGCCGTCCGGGAGCTGTGTTCACCTCCAAGGGTCTGCCAGGTTCTTCAACTGCTGCTCCCTCCCGCTTCCCCTATGCGAAGCATGGCCCCCGACTTACCGTGCTTACGCTCAATGTGGGCGGTCTCTCGCAGGACGCGTGGGACGAAGTGCAGATCTGGATACATGACCAATGCACTCAGGACATCATCCTCCTGCAAGAAACACATTGGTCACACAGCAATATGTTCTTTCTCCCTCGCTACATTGTGATCCATTCGGGTACTGCTGGCCATCGTCATCAGGGGTGTGCGATCTTACTATCTAAGCAACGATTCACACCCTCCGGAGTGCGGTGGGCGCCCATAGTTCCGGGCCACCTCCTTCACGCGCGGGCCTCTCTGGGAACAAAGCCGGTGGACGTAGTATGTTTGTATCAGCACTGCTGGAGTCACAACGGGGATACTGCCTCGCTTCTGCAACGAAGGGAGCGTCTCTGGGTACAGCTGGACAAACTTCTCGGAGGAGTTCCGCGGCGAAACGTGTTGGTGTTGGGCGGGGATTTCAATGTCGGCGGCCGTATGGATGGTCAAGTGTTCGGCCCAGGCACTAAATCTGCCAGAGCGCCCCCTCCCGACCAGCCACTCTTTCAGAGTCTGTTGCAGACTCACTCCCTGCAAGCAATCAACACTTGGAAGAGTGGCTTACGTGCCTTTACCTTTCAGAATGGAGAAACGTTCACTCAAATTGACTTTCTGATTGGCCGTGCGCGTCAGGTTGATGATATGGCTCGTGGCGCTGAGTCGGACCACAACTGTCCTGTCTTGAAGTGGCGGTACGGCCCTCTGCACCACCCGGTCTATGGGTCGTTTCCTGCCTGCTGGTATGCCACTGCGCCGGCCACTCCCAGTGTGCCGAAACAGGCAAAGCTTAGCCTTGCCCAAACTCCTGAAGCCATTCGAGCCTTCCGCGAAAAACTGGCGCTTGCGTTGCCGAACGCTGAAACGCCGCAGGAGCTTAACGACTGTCTTCAAGAAGCGGCGACGCCTCTGATGGTCGAAGAGCCTCGCCCTCCTCTCTCGCATCTTCCACAGGTGCGCGGCTTAGTGGGAGCAATGTGGGAGGCACGGCGTCGTGCTCTCGAGGTTTCTTGGTCGACTGGTCTTTCAGTGCTTCCTCTGAGCCTGTCAAATATTTGGGACGTGGTGGTGCGACTACACTTCACAGCCCGCGTCAGAATACAGCTGCGCAGTGTCTGGCAGGGCTGGTGCTCGGCTGCGAGATATCTTGCCCTGCACAGGGCGCTGCGAAAGACCAGTCGTAAGGCGAGGCGGCAAGTGATGGACGACCGCATCTCCGCTGCGGCTCAGGCAGAACAACAAGGGGACAGCTCCGCTCTGTTTGCGGTCGTTCGAACGTTCATGCCCAAACAACCGCGGATGCGGACCCAGCTTCGGGGTCCGGAAGGCGAGTTGCTCTCCTCTGCAGCTGAAGCAGATGCATATGAGGCATACTGTCGTACGGTGTATGCTCCTGCTCTCTCTGCGCGGGAAGAGCTCCCACCGCTGGCACCGCCAGCTGAAAACACTGCGCCGCCCGTGTCCCTAACCCTGGAACACGTCCTCCAGGCTCTCCGGTCTTTCTCCGCGCGAAAAGCATTTCCCGTCATCTGGCTCCCATCCTGCTCTGGAAACTCGGTGCTGATCTTGTTGGCCCTCACCTCCATCGGCTCTACTTGCAGGCCAGGCCTCCAGCGGCTGTTTTCCCCCCGCTTTGGGCCGACTCCTGGCTGACTTGGTTGCCTAAGCAGGGGAAGACGGGTACCACCCCAGCGGAGCAACGCCCCATATCCCTGACGGATTGCGGGGGGAAGGCGGTCACCAAGGCGTTCACCTCCCAACTCCAGCCCACTCTTCGGGAGGCGTTGGCTCCGTGGCCGCAATTTGCTTATCTCGGTGGTCGATGCATTGAGCACGCCGTCGCCAGAGTAACGGCCCACTGTGTGGCAGTTCGGGATCGTCTTGCTTCCGGAAGAGTGACCCTGAAACAGCGCAGGGCCGGCAGTGGCCCACAGGGCCAATGTTATGGGGGAGTTATGGTTAGTGTTGACTGCTCCAAGGCCTTCGACACGGTCGATAGACAGGTCCTTAAATCGGAGCTGTGCAGCGCAGGAGTCCACCCTGAGGACGTTGACTTCATAATGCGCATGCACACGGCCATCTCCTATCACCCTGTGCCCAAGGATCCCCGCCGCGCGGTTCACAGCAAACGGGGTGTTAGGCAAGGCTGCGCTTTAGCTCCATCTTTATGGTCGCTCATCACCGTTGCCTTACTGCGTGCCCTCGCGGAGAAATGCGGCACCCAATGGGTCACCGACCTTGTCACTATGTATGCGGACGATCTCCTGGAAACCTGGGAGGTGTACACCAGAAAGGACCTGGATCTGCTCATGCAGGCTGTCAGTCAGAGCTTTCAGCTGCTGGAAGCGCTCGGACTGCAAGTCCAGCCACAGAAGACCAAAGTGGTCCTCGCGCTTAGGGGAAGGCAAGCGCGCCTTTGGATACGTCGACACACCTTGGACACCCCCGATGGCAGAGTCCTTCTTATCCCGGCCCCCAACGGGAAGCCGCACCATCTGCCAATTGTGTCCTCCATCAAGTACCTGGGGGTAGTTCTCAGTTATGGCGACTTTGAGGGCGCCACGCTGACACATCGCCTGTCCTGCGCAGAAGCAAATCGCTCTCGTATTCTCCGTATCCTTCACTCCCGATCGGTTAGCTTGCGGCGTAGAGTTCAGCTGTGGCGGGCGTGCGTCTTCTCCTCAGCCGTGTATGGCCTGCACGTTGTTGGCCTTCGGCCCAAGCATCTCCGCAGGCTGACCGTTGCTCTGGTCAGACACCTTCGGGCAATCGCTGGCAGTTTCGCGCACATCCACCACGAAGCTAGTAGAGCTCTCCTTGACAGACTCGGCGTGGCGGACCCCCTGGAAACGATCCGGCAGAGGAACCAAACTCTAGTCGAATCTAGCTGGAGTACCAAAGACCCGCAGGTCTCTCATCCCAGGGTTCTAGGTCGACTCCGAGTGGTAAATGAAGCCCTGACCCGACTCTCAAGTTCGCTTCGGGCCCAAACTGAGGCTGTTCAAGGCGAGCTCGTCGATCAGGTGCTGCCCTCTCCGCCACGATCTCGAGAGGGAGCTCCGTGGGGTCAGCTGGTACACAGCTCGGGCGGGCTTAAGGAAGCTCTCTTCCACTGCTGGCATTGCGACCTGTGCTTCGCAGAATTGGCTGCCTTGAAGCGTCATCTGCAAGATGCCCATGATGCTCACACCCTGCCGGTATCCTCGGAAACGGGTTTTCGGGAACATAGTGTGGGAGGGATGCCGGTCTGTGCACATTGTCAAGCGGATCTGGTGTCATGGAATAATTTCAAGCGCCACCACCGCTACAGACACTGTCCAGTGCTGTGGCTGCGGACCCAACAGTCTCAAGATGTCTCCCCTCCTCAGGACGATCCTCCCCCCGTCCCTCCTGTCCCGATGGAGTCATCCACTCTTTCTGCTCCTCAGGCTTGGATTCCTCTCGCAGACTGGCCACAGCTCCGCGACGCCCCCATGAGTCAATGGCTTGAGATCTTCCGAATTCCCTCGGCAGCTCAGATCTTACGTGAGGGCTGTGCCCAATGTGGGCAATGGCTGGTCAGTATAAAAAGCATCAAACTTCACTATAAGCATGTGCACCCAGACATTTACGCCGCATGGGCCAAACCGGCTGCTGCTGATTGTAGGAGATTTGGACGGGTGCTCTCGCCGTGCCCGCACTGTCACCAGTCGATCACACGCACTGATATTCACTGTAGCACTTGTCCGGCTCTGTGGCAGGCGAGACTAGTTAGCTATGTCCGAGGAAGAACTCATCGACCAGGAAATGGCGGAGGTGTTCGGCAAGCGGCCCCATGCAGGGAAGCCGGGGCAGGAACGTCCCCCCAAATCTCGGATGCCGTGGGGAACGGGCCGCCAATCCAGGGGGAAGGGCACAGGAAAGGGCAACTCAAGCAGCGGAGGCTCTCTTTCGCGCCCCAGAGAGGAGAACGCAGTCCGCGACAGGGAGGAGATGACGCTCCGGATGGGGCAACTGCTGCTGCGACACACGGACTACCTAGCCCGCCTGCGCTCGGACCACACGGTCATCATCACATACCGCAACGACGACACCCCGGAATGCCTCCTGCCCGCCCTCCTAGAGAAGGCCGAGACCTGGCGCCGGCTGAAGCTCGAGAAGTCGCCCAACCTCACTCGGACACTTCGGCAAACGCTCCTTCTCTACACGCTTCAGGAACTCCGGGAGAGAGCTATGATGCTGGAGACCTCTGCAGCACAGGCGCAGGCAGATCGCACCCGCTTCACGGAACTGCGCTGGATGACGGCAGAGGGTCATTGGAACCACTTGGTCTACGACCCGAGCGAGGAGATCATGGTGGTGGACCCCCAAAAGCGGCCTCGACCGAGAGCCGAGGTCCTCAAGGAGCTGGAGCGTCTCATCATCATCTTCAAGACGCCGGAACTGATCCTCAAGTACGACTCCTTTCGCCCTCTCAAGGGCAAGTTGGAGGGTCCGCTCATGACGTTCCAGCTGGAGCTGTCTCTGCAGAGCCCGGTGGCGCACGAAGCCATGCAGATTTTGAGGGGGTGGTTTGGACTGTCCCACATGCTGCTCATGGGCGCCCGCATCAAGCCGGAGCGAGCAATCCGGCCACATTTGGCACAGGCTCTACAGCAAGCTCTGTTCGGATGAACGGCCCCGCCATGGGTGCCGGAGCCCCTTCGGGGCGCTCAGGAGCCCCTGCCTTGGAGGGTCTGCTGACACTCAAACTTCTAAATCCCTCTAGCCTGTGTTATATGAATGCGGCTGCATTTCTGCTGGCCTTCACACTTCGAGTTTCCTCGCTCGTCACAAGCAGCTCGAGTGGTTTGGGTCTTGTGGTGAATTACTTGTGTCGGGGTCATAGACGGGTTGTTGATTTACGCCAGTTTATGGCCTGGCAAGCGTTGCTAGTAGGATGGGGCCAGGTTGTAGGAGATCGTGCCTCCCAACAAGATTGTGCGGAGTTCCTGGGCCATCTACTTAGACGAGGGGGGCCCCCCGCAGCGCAAGGCGAGTGGCAAGCTCGCACCGTCCCTGAAACGGCCCAGCCGGCGCCGGTGCGGGACTCAGGTCAGGGCATTCTTTACCTTGAACTGCCTGACAGTGCCACAACCCTCCAAGACTGCATAACGCACTGGCATGCACAGCATGATCCACTGGTCTGCCCACACGCTCTGGTGAGGGCCACGCCTCTCGTGTACCTCTGCCTGGGCAGGTATCGTGAGCGCAGCGATGGGGAGGGAAATCACCGGACGTTGAAGGCCCAACATCGCATTCAGTGTACGCCGCACGCTGAGCTTGTCATTCCTGTGTTCCAGGGGAGCTCAACCTCGGTGACAATGAGCAGATACCGCCTGCTGGCGGGTGTGTATCATCTTGGAGACACAGTCAACAGGGGACACTACCGTAGTTTCATGGCGAGCGGGGATTTCGCCTCTGCAACGGCCCCTCACGGGAGTCCGACCTGGTGGTGTACTGAGGACAGCCAGCCGGCCGCTAGATGCAGCTCAAAGCAGTTGAGAGTTTTGGAGCAGAACTGTTATGTTCTTTGTCTTCAGCTTTGCTAGGGTAGGTGGAGTATGCTGCAAAGTCGTCCCTGCCTGCTGGTAGTGTCGCTACGGGGCAGGGTTTGGGACGTACTGCGGGCATTTTAGTGCGAGTACGGAGATGTCACAGTACAGCCAACTGGGCCGGACTTTTCATCGGGTCTGTCTCCCTTTCCGCGCTAGGTACTCGACAGAGTGCTGCGATTTCAAAGTCAAAAGTCTGTCTCTCTCTCTCTCTCTCTCTCTCTCTCTCTCTCTCTCTCTCTCTCTCTCTCTCTCTCTCTCTCTCTCTCTCTCTCTCTCTCTCTCTCTTTCTCACACACACACACACTCATCTTTGCATGTGTTTCCCTTATGCCTTTTGCAAGTGCGTGAACATTATACAGTTGTTGAAACATGGACAGTTGACATTGTTGGTGCGGTAAAGGCAACTCGCCGCAGGAAAGCAATCCCCTTATTGATTCGCTAAGACAAGATAGCTTGAAGCTGCATGTCCGGCATTTCGCGTGCAGGATACGGTTGGCATGAATTGTTAACGCAATCTTGGCAACTCAGTACTAGGTTTATGAAATTCAAGACGTGCTCAGTCATCTGTGAGTCAACAGAGCCGCACATGTGGCGGTAACGTGTGCGAACGAGATCAACTTCACCAGGCACATGACCTTCAATGGCTCATGTGTCTTTGCGAATACTTTTCGTTTTCCCGATGCAGAAACGGTATGAGAATGTCGGTATTTATGATTTTGCCCCTGTGTGAGGAGGAAGACCACTGGGCCCTCAAACCTAAACGCACTTTTGGGGCCATGCGCAACTTTACGAAGAGAAAAGTGATTACTAACACATTGCTCCAAGCCCCAACTTCATGAAACCTGATACGTGCCATGAATCCGAACACGAGACACGTGATCCGCTGAGAGAGCGCTTGCCAGGTCCCAAAGGTCCCAGAAGGTGCCAGGCACGATACGGCTCGTGGAACTCGCAATAAAAGAAGCTTTCTCTGTTTTGATGTCCAGCACAAAAGCCCGTAATTTAACTTAGGCAGATGTTTTTACGCAACATATTCTCGCGAACCATCTCTCGCAAACGACCATTGCAGAGTCAATGCCTCCAGGGTTTGCGTTTGCGCTGCTTAGAGCAAAGGGTGCACGTACAGGGTGCAGGGCTTTTTGTGCCACGCGCATGAAAGTCGCCAGTTCGGGGTCGACGCCTCGGAAGTGCTGCCTCTTGGTGTATAAGGCTGTTCCTGGGTTTTCCCCATCTTTCTTTCCTTCATCGCGCAAGCATGGCCAGGAGAGGCTGGTGCATAGTTCGCACTGCCTCGTATCTGCACGTCGAAGTCGAGAGACAGATCTGACGCGATGCCCAGGGGCCCCAATCCTTGTGACTGGTAATTGCGCTATTGAAGATTCAGAGGAGTCAGGCTCCCGAAGCGGTCCCAAAGAAGTGCAGGCGCGAATGCTTCGCAAACGCTTGGTGGAGCCTTTGTTCATGCTCCGCGGACCCTTTACGTTGCGAGCGATGTGTACAGGCCTTGGTGACGATTTCGGTCGCCTCTTCCACCCAGCAAATTTGTTTGTCCCCCAAGCTCTTTAAATGGGAGCCCTTCTGCTACGCATTCGGGCAAATACTACCTTAACAAACCCAGGCCCGAAAGCGTACCGCATTCCAATCTTTCGGGATCGGTGAGGATCGAATCTTTGAAGAGCTTGAGCTTTATCTGCGCGAAAATGTTACGTTGACATGTTGACTTGCTTTACTTCGTTTGTTTCGTTCCCTATTCGATCACCTTGGTCACTGAGGCCATTGCGAAAGCGGCAAAGAAAGGCCAAGGGAGCCAGGACGTGCATGGCTCATCACGCGCAAGATGCACATCAAGTTTGAAAGGGCCCTGAAACATGGACTCAGCCAGTGATCTGCTCCACCAGGACTGCGGATATTGCGGATGCTTTGCAGCTCTTCAGCTATTGGTTGGAGACAGGACCTCAAGCCCTAAACCTTCAGCCCCAAACCCCATACATCGAGCAGTGTATGAAGGCAAAGAAAAAACCTTACCAATTCTGCTGGCAGAAACGCGCGAGGAGACACGTCAGCATCGAAGGCTGAGGGCTGCCACCAAGTCGGCCCACAAAGAAAGTGCGAATCAAGGGCGATTCATCGGCGCGTCGGGGTTCGGGCATGGGTTTGCTCATCTCCCTGATATTTCCATGCAGGTTGGCCTGTACTGTAGCCGCTTAGACCATGTTCTGCCGTATAGCCGCTTGAAACCGAAGTCAAACAGGATGCCTCAAGCAAGCGCGGCTTGATGTAAATCTGATTGTGTGCCTCCATATGTGCGCCGTGTTTTCCGTTGCAGCTTTGTAGATACAAGGCTTTCATGTGTCCTTGATCTCATTTGCATGCATCGCTTTGTTGCCTCTTGTAGGCTACGCCCGTGATCTTTTTTCATCATTTTTTGTGGATGCATGCGTTTACAAGCCTTTAAGGTTATCGGTCGAGTCGGCACGGCCCCGGGGACTTGTAGAGCTGGTGACAGAGCAATGGCGTGCAGGGGTGTCTTTGGTATCGGAGGGTCTTTTCTTGAAACGTGGATGGGCAAATAGCTTGCGCTGCTAGATGAAAGCAGGGATGCTCTTGAATAGCTGTTTGCCCACAGATTGATCCTGATTGTCGCCGTTTTCATCGTTCGTGAGGGGGCGTTTGCTCGTATGGCAGGTGTTGTATGCGTTTCATCCGCCAAAACGAAATGACAGACTTTAGCCTTGATGTGATATAGATTTCGGGAGGGCAACTCATACATTTGGATGTGAATAAGTGATGGCTTTGAAGCCTTTGCGTTAAACGAAGCGTGTGGCTGTGCAATACCAACTTCGATCGTGTTCTTCGTGTGGGATACGGTTTTGGCATATGTCGGAGTCTAGGTCTTGTCGTTTCACGCATTTTGAAGCCCCTATTCGTACTTCAAGAAGAGGAGAGTGTCTGTGCAATCATGCACGCTAGCTCTTCAGGAGTTGTCGGTAAAGAAAAAACCCATGGGATAACAAACGGTTCTACGGGCTTTTCGGTCTGATCAATCGAGCGCTAGCTGTCGCGGCTCACAAGCACATTGCAAGTTTCTTCGTGTGGACTTTGGTTTTGGCATATTAACTGGCTTGCCGTTTCCTATATGATTCTGAATGTTCTACACTCGACTTGTCATGATGAGAGCCAGCTGTTACATTTTCAAGAATGCATAAGCTTACCGCTCTTACATCATGAGCTTATGACTAGACAACAAGATCAAAGACAGAAGGGGTCTTTGTTCTGGTCAAGTTTGTGGGCCAGGGATTTGTCGGAATACGATTGTACTTGAGGGATGTGTTCTCAGAGGGTTTCTAAACTGCTGTCGCTTGTGTCCTGTGATGGCGAGCACACCGCGTTCGCTCGCAGGAGCGCCTGTTGGGGTAGACTCTTCGAGCGTTTGCAAGTGTGTTTGAAAAGCCACCCGAGCCTTTGCCGTAAGTATACCGTAAGCCGTAAGCGCTGCTGTATGACCTGGGTATGCAGTGCTTCCTTGCGCGCCATATGGAGAGGATTCATGAACGGCCAGCAATGTTTCCCCGCCAATGCCTGAGCCTTAGCCCAAAGATTGACGAACTTGAACCCACTGTGTTCAAGCTCAACACAGGTCTGAGAGTATCGGCAATCGGGATTTGTCGGGGTGCGGAAGCGCGCTGTGCGGAGCCTCATATCTTCACGGCAGGCCATCCTGATGCCTCCGAACTGCGGCGTGATGGCAGGGTGCTGGGATGTGCTATGGCTGCTATGACGTGCTGAAGCTTTCCGCGTGTTTTGTGCCGTGGTTTTGAGAGCTCCCAGGCTGCTGCTCCTTGGCCAGCGCAGCGCGCGCTCTACCAGGCAGGTTCTTTCAGTTGCCTGGATTGCGAACTACCATGCGTTGCCTGCTAAATTATAGCAGTCAGTTGACCTGCAAACCAGCCCGACAACAACGGAAAGCGCAGTGCTGCAATCGTGAGACTCTCAAGGGCTGCAAATGAGACACCAAAAAGTGGCCCAAGGGCATCTGGTGATGCTGACAATTCCTGATGCCGGGATGCGGAAACCGCAAAACCAAAATGGTAAATACCAAAAACCAAGTGCCCCAAAACCACGGGACACACACGATCACGCTGAAATGGGGCCCGAGCATACGTCAGCAAATCCGACCTGCACTGGTGTTCCCCCCCCCTGCACCCGGTGGCCAAGAAGCCACCGCAGTATACTTTTTTCACCATGCAAGGATTAGAACCAAAACTGACAATCACGGGTGCATCCCACCCCCAAGAGCAGTCCCAGCCTTCTTGGTCCACAGGCATCTGCTTGCAGGTTGGGCATCGATTTAAAGCTGAGTAGAGTTGTGTGTGTTAACGTAGTTTCAAGCTGAAGTTCAAGGCGCTTCTCGCGCGTGGCTGCGTCAGGACAGCAGATCCTTGGCCTGCTCACAGCGACCACAGCAGCCGCAGCCCCGACCAGTGCCGGCCAATCAGTCCTGCCTGTATGTTTTGGAGTATGTTTGGGTCGGACACGAGTCATCCGCTTCGAGAATCTGAGCATCGCCAGGTTCCAGCCCGTTCGGCTCCAACGGTTCCAACCTCTTCGGACATCGCCTTTGCAGTCCTATGCGTGCCTTACTTACGCATACTTACGCATTCCGATGTGCATGCATGACGATATGTGACGATGTGGGGCCTTCGAGATGCGATGTCCCTGCTCCAGATTCCGAGGACTGCACCAACCCAACGATTCTTGCAGGCGGCACTTGACTCTCAACACCTCGTCACACTTTGCCACACTTCTTGGAACCCGATGCGCAGGTTAAGCACCTTTCAGCTCCGAGTGTGCCGGTACGAAGGCCAGCTGACAGGCCCCTCGACGACAATCTTGCTTGCTGCATCCCAGTGGCAGGATGCCCAACGTTGCCTACACTGTCTCCCAACCCCTGGCACCAGCCTCAGCAGCTGCCTTGTTCATTGTGTCTCTCGTGGTGCAACATGTATGTGCGTGTGTGCGTGCGCGTGTGCGTGTGCGCGTAAGTGCGTGCGTGGGTGTGTGTGTGTGTGTGTGTGTGTGTGTGTGTGTGTGTGTCTGTCTGTGTGTGATGCCAGGTCGTGGTGGGCGTCAGCTCCACACCACAGGCCATCCAGGCATGTGGTCGAATCTGCTCAGACCTCACAGGTCTCTCCATCTTGCGCAGCACAGGAGCGGCGAGCTCCTGCCTCGTCCCCCGTCTCCAGCAACGAGCCTATACAGCAAAACTTCAAAGGTATGCGGTTCCCCTGCTTTCCTTTCACACGCCGCCTGATGTCCACAAGGCCTGCCGACGTCAGAGCTGCAACCCGAAGCGGCCGTCAAGCGAGCTGCGGCATCCTGTGATCCGACGCCCTCGGACTTAAGTCTCAAGGCCTGAAGCGGTTGGGGGGGGGTTAAATGTCGGTTTCAAGGGTTCGGATTCGGATACTTTGCGTCTTACAGTCTTACAATGCAAAGCCTGGCCTGGATATGAGAATCATTGAGAGTCCCATGAGGACTTCTTCTGCCTTGAGCCCTGTGCCAGGATGAGCCTGCGTGCGTGACGCCGAAGGGCAAGCCCACTGCGTTCTCAAGGAGCCATTTCGGGAGATCATGCCACCGGCTTGGGTATTCAGAGAGTTGTCTGCTGGAGATTGCTGCAGGGACCTGGAAACAACCCCCTCAACGACCTGCCCAAACGAGGACAGTGCACTGGCTCATTTCTGCCTGAAGTCTGCAGCAGACTCTTTAGCTTAAAAGCTACGACGTGAATGCCTCAGGGCTCCGATGACGACACCACGGGCAGCATCGAAGTGGCCCAGGCTGGATTGGTGTGGCCGTTTCTGGCTTGAGTACTGCAAATTGCACCCGACGAAAGAACAGCCCTGAACAAGTGTGTCCGGCGCTGTCCAATACAAAGGCAGCATCCACAGTTACATCCCGTATCTTACACAGGGCATCAGACATGTTATGCCGGATGCGGACGACAGCTGATGAAGCTTCCATAAGCTTCCTTTTGCGCATTTTTTACCTCAAGCGGTCTGAGGACATTGCGGCTAGTAGTGGTGACCAGCTGCAGACGATGCTGCAGGCGGGCTTAGAGAGCTGACCATGTGAAGTATTTCAGTATCCCTAATGGCTGCTGATGCTTGCGAAGACTGGAGTCCACCAGGCCGAGGGCAAAGGACCCACGAGCCCAAAGCAGCCGAAGCAGGTGCGTATCCTCCTTTTTCTGGACCTTCACAACAGTCTCTAATTTATTCGCAATGACTTGGCGCTGTTTCACAGGCCTGGCCCGACCCACAGCTTGTCGCCTTAATGGAGCGCTTGCGCAAGGCGGACGGCATGAACTGAGTGCTTTTTTGTCCTGTGGCCTTGAGCCTTTGAGCACAACCCCTCAGGTGGACGACAGGAACATGGAGCAGGTCGGGCTCGCGGGTCATGAATTGAGCCCTGCAACAAGCAGTCCCCAACGAACAAGGCTTGGCGGGTCACTCAGCTCGACCATGTCTTGAACCTTCAAAGCATCTGAATCTGTTTCTGCAGGTGTTGAACCCTAAAACTGGAATCCTTTGGGCTGGAAATCTTTCGGGATCAACATGACAATGACGGCTCTACTTTGCTCCGCTGTCTTTGAATCTTCGCTTGGGAAGATTGCTACAGGAAGTAGATGTCAGCATCCTAAGCAGGGAACATGGTCGGGAAGGCTTGTGGACGCGGGAACTGTGTAACCATCTGCTGAACAGTCAGTGCCTTAAGTCCAGTCCTCGGCAGCGGCCAGCTACAAAAGCCTATGTCATATGTGAACCCTGGTTGCCTCGCAGCAAGAACCTTTCCAACTCGGAACCGGGCCAGGCACCTACTATCCTGGCCAAAGCCCAGCACTTGCACCAGCAACGCGTCGCGGAGGATCTTTACCCTCCCTACCCTCCCCCCCTCGTGTGCTTGCCGCCCACGATGGTTCCAGCAGATTCAGAGTAGTGAAATGGGAATAGGAAAAGTGAGTTTTTGATGCATGTAGGGGGAGCTCGTAGGTTGGAACAACATCAGTCCATCCTACTGGCTTAAGCCAGGATTGCACTTCGCGCCAGGCCGAGCAGGGCTACTGCTTTGGCTGGATGTGGAGGGCCGCTGCGCCGCGCCTGGGCCACTAGCCTCAACAATGGCGAGCGGAAGCACCAAAACCCAATTCCTATTGAGGGTAGAGAAGCTTCGGACCGTGCAGGCCGAGCCGAAGGAGTCACGCCGGTTCGCTGCGGCGTGCGCAACAAGTTTGATGAGGAGATTCAGGTGCAGCACGCCAGCTCTGGCTCTGTCTATCTCTCTCTGTTTCTCTGTCTCTCTCTGCTTCTCTCCGTCTGTCTGTCTCTCTCGCTCTCTCTCTCTGTTTCTCTGTCTGTCTGTCTGTCTCTCTCGCTCTGTCTCTTTCTCTCTCTCTCTCTCTCTCTGTCTTTTTTTCTTTCTCTCTCTCTCTCTGCCTGCCTGCCTACCTGTCTGTCTGTCTGAGGCCATAGGCTTCCTTGTCCTAAACTCCCCGTGACAAAATAATTCCGGAGGATCTGGCATGTAGTATGACGGGGAATTCGGGAAGTTGCTGGAGTACTCCCTTTGAGATTTGATGCCCGGCCTCGGTACAAAAGCAATAGAGAAGGAGATATTCGCTTTGGGGCTGGCCTCAAGTCTTGAGATATTGAAGCCTGACAGCCTCATCCTTGTTCGGACTCGGATCGAGCTTCGGGTCTCGGGGTTAGGGCTTCAAGCATTGCTACGGCCCGGTTCAGAAGTCGACTGTTAGGCTTTAGCAAGTACATGCAACAACATCGCAAGAATTTTCGCAGGACCTCAAAACCTTAGCACAATGCCGGGCAGGACAGCAAGCTGATCCCCATGAGTAAAGCTTTTACCGCATTGTTGAGCAGTTGTGTGAAGTGGTTCCGCTGTTCTGTTCATGTTGCGCGTCGCAGTTGTCCAGGCCCTTGCAGAGCTGCGCCGGAGCCAGCGGAGCCAGTAAAAAAAAGACGAATGCTCTCCTGTCACGTATCAATACGTATCACATGTGGTCACCCTAGGAGCCGGATGCAACCGCAACTGTGTGAGTGACCTTTGTGTGCAGCTGCTTTGGTCACGGGCTTTGTAACATTGTACCTTACTCAGTGTTACCGTCGTAGTACTGTGACAGAGCTTTCAGGAGTTTCTTCCAGTTTGCAATGCTCACGAAGTATCTTTGTAGCACTTGCTCTGCGGGTTGGAGCGGACATGTTCTGGGATTGACAGGTTGTGATGAGGTCTCCATGTGTAGGGCTCTTCCCTTCAGCCCGAAGCTCAGGGCTCTTAAGTTCGGTAGCCGCTAGCCAATTCTGGGTTCAAGCACTCGTAGCGACTGCACTGCTCGCCTCGCCGCGGCTCAATGTCTCTAGAGTCTGTCAGACACTTTATCGGACATGGCTCAGCAATGACCCCCACTGCGTTTTTGGTCCCACGGTTTCTAGGGTTTCGCTTGTAGGCTAAAAGTAAGGGTTCGCGGGCCACAGGGTTAGGGAACTTGGCTTTGCAGTTTTGTACGTAGCTACAAGGGACAGCAGGCGGCGCTGTCGAAGGCCTTTGCACCGTGGCTGCAACCACAGAGGGTTTGCATGTGATCGCAGTGGCTTTTCCCAAGTAGGACGCAAGCTGTAAGCCTTAAACCCCGAACCCTCTAGCACCCTCCTAGATCGTCCCAAGTTCGTCGCGATTCCACCGGTCTTGTTGGGGGTGGTTGTGATTTGAGGGGAGGCAGGGAGGGGAGTACGCCCTATACCAGTAGATGGCAGGAAATCATGCCAATGCCCGCCTGCAAGTTTGCCAAGTTACTCCACGGCGAATCCAAAAAACTAGGCGCTTGAGGATCGGAGCCCAGCTTGAACTTGTCTGAGCATGTTAGCTAGGATTTGATGTTGAGAATTGGACCAACTGCCTCGATGCCAGGTGGTTTGGTGCTCAACGGGTGCCGTCGTGGCTTGGGCATGAGAGTAAAGTCAGGTAACAATCCCGCATGGCTTAGAGCTTTAGGGTTGTTGGCTTTGCGAGTTTGGGGTTTTAGGGAGGACTTCAAAGTTCTGGGTTTGGGTGATCTTAGGTTTTCAGTGCTGAAGGTTTAACGCTTCGGGCCTAAAACCTTGAGCCCCAGAAATCCCTAGACCCCCCCTAGCACAAGCCTCTTAAGGCTAAGGTTGATACTGACGCCCAAGGTCCAGTGTCCTAAGACGGCTCGGAGCGACATAGTGACTGGGTTTCGAAGGAACGGCGTGTTTCAAACTAGCTGCAGTCCCTAGATCAAGGATACTGTTGTTTAGGGCCGTAGTTTAGGGCCCCGTGTTTTTTGGAACAGCCATTAAAGTAGTTTTACGATAGAAATGCATGCGCCAATTCAATTCCCTATCCTTTGAGAGTTCCCGTCAGGGTGCCCTGCGGCCTGCGGAACTTTGTTTGGTGTCCTGTTGCCACAAACGCGCTTTCTGAGACCCTACCTTTCTGGATGTGTGTCTATGTCTCTCTATGGTTCGAGTTTTTGCTTGACTCTGGATCCGTTTGGGGGTTGAGGGTTGATCCGCCGGGGTGTGAAAGCAACTTGGTTGTGTTCGGGGCAAGGTTCGTAGAGTTCTCAGGTGTAACGGAGGACAAAAAATGTTTCCACTGTTGCCGAAACTTTGCGGCTCAAGGGTTGCGGCACCTGCGGCATCTGAACCCTGGCCCTGAGCAGCCTACGCAGCCTTTGGCATGGAGATTCTGCTCGTTGCGAGTCTTCTCTGCACGGCATCGGCCCTGAACGTGATTGTGGTTGGCGCAGCTTGCGTTTCAAGCTCAAGCGTTGTCCTGTGTCGGTTCTAGCTGTAACCACGAGGACCTTAAACCTACACGACTTGGGTTTGGTAAGTTGCTTATATAATACCTAGTTGTGTCATTGTTATTCATGTTCCTATTCCTAACCTTGTTACTACCAGCCTTATTCCTATTACGAACCTTATTATTTGCAGCATTTGTATTCTGAGTAATATATTGGGTAAATGGGATTTCTGGAGACGAACGCCAGGCAGGGGCTGGCGGCCTGGGTGCTGCGAAGCGCTTGCAAGACACCTTGGCATAGGGTAACATTTTTGGGTTTAGGGTGTAGGGTTTAGAATGGGTACTTAAACCCAATAAGGAAAATGATGAACATTTTTTATTTCTATCCCAGCCATGATCTAGGACAATGGGCACAGCGTCACTTTGCTGGAAGGCAGAGATCGCATAGGCGCGCGACAGGGAGCTGCGTTTGGGCGTCGTGTTTGGGGATGTTTCCCCAAGCCCTAAACCCTAAACCCTGAACCCTAAACCCTAAACCCTAAACCCTAAGCCCTAAACTCCTAAACCCCTAAACCCTAAACCCTAAACCCCTAATAAGTGAAGGGTTGTGAAAAAGCAGCCCTAAACCCTTTTTTCACTGAAAGGGTTTTTTTTGCAAATTTTTATGAGGACTTCGGTGTCTTCGGCTCTGGGAAGTCTACGGACTCCAGGCTTTAAGGCCTCGAAATGTGAGGCTGCGAGGTTCGGGCGGTAAGGTTTGAGGCTTTCGGGTTTTAGGGGCTGCCTCGCGGCTTCATGGACTACTTTTTCCATGTCCCTCGGGAGAAAGGGAATTGGGGCTCCACTGAGAGAATCTTGAAGTCAGGGATCCTTCTACGGAGAGTCGCACCATTAAGTGTTGAGAGTATGTTCATGCAACTCGAGTAAGGTTACTCCTTATCGACTTCAGTACAATGAAGAAATCAACCGCCCACTAAGTACTCAGGCTTCTAAGTAGACCAAGTACGGTAAGGCACTACCGTGCTTGTACCTACTACGTCCCATGATCCAATCCTTACTTTAAAGTAAACACTGAGGGGTCCACGTGAGCCATAATCATGGTATAGTAGTTCCGCCACAAGTAAGCCTACTCTGACTATTCTAGGTTCCCCAGTAGTAGTACCCGTTTGCCCTTGTCATGTTCGGGTTCCCTGATTAAAGCTGAATGCCCCGTAACATGGTGCCTTCATGATTCAGGGGAACCCTTGTATTAAGTCCCCTCTCTTACTGCCTTGCAGCCCTACCTCGGAGAGGCGGACGCACATGGACCAGCAAAGCCACCGGCTTTGCCGTGGACCTGGGGGCCAGTTGGATTCACGGGGCAGGCGGGAGATTGATAATGGTTTCTATTCTGTTGTTCCAACGTTCCACCGGTTTCAGAAGTGTCTAGGGGCTAGGCACCATTCGAAAGACACTTCCTGACACGAGATCCTTTATTCTGGGGACAGGTATGTTGAACCGTTGTCCGAAGAAACTTGCTCGGCTTTCAGGGACACAAGAAGCGCCGAAGCCCTCACTTCAAAACCGTAGCATCTCCTGCTGTCTGTATGTTTTCGAAAGGCTGGCACTTCGGTGCTCTTTGTACCGTGTGGGATGTCTTGGGGGCGGGGGGCAAGAATCCAGAGATCCGGGTTTTTGGGGGGTTCGGCCCCGTGAGCTAAGATTTACGCTGGGTTTGGGCTTGCAATCATCAGTATCAACTTGGAACATCGAGATGTCGAGCCCTAGGTTGGTTCATTCGCACTGGGGGTGTGGGGAAGGCCCGACCAATCCGCTGACGCCCTTCGTTACGGAGTTCGGAATTGCCACGCGAGAAAGTGCTGATGAACAGAGATGCCGCACCTGGGTGTATTTTCAGATGCGGATAGGTTTGAATTTTCGATCTCGTTCAGGGATCAGATTTGATTTGCTGGCGTAGGGCCGGGGCATTGAAACTAAGGTTCGGCCCGAATGCTACTGAAACTCAAACACCCTCAATACACATCACACGGCAACATGGTAGCGAGGATGGGAGCTTGAACTACTTGTGGTCACGCACGTACAACAACCGCCTTTAGTTATAGGCTAATAGGCATGGTAGCCATGCGAAGGCAAGAAATCCTTCGACACCCGAAGGCAGCTCCATGGACTTGGGTTTGGGGGTTTAGGGTTTGGGGTTTAGGGTTGGGGTTTAGGGTTTAGGGTTTGGGGTTTATTGCTGGGTTTGGGGTCTGCGGTAGGGCATTAGTTGCCTGATGGTGCTGCCTGTTTGGGTCGACCGCAGGCTGCGTGTTTCTTTCCGGCTCCCAAAGCCCGACAACGTAAAACCCTTTACGCCAAAATGTCCTTACATCCTAAGCCTAGACAAACATATTCATGCACAAAAGAATAGTGACACGACCAACAAAACCACAACCCAGCACCGACATCAAAACTCGAAATCCTGAACCTCTAAACCCACCCATGGTGCCGACAGAGCCGGTTTGAAGCCACCGGAGCCCAGGCTACGACAAGGATGGCTACAAGTACAACAGCCAGAACTTGGCCTCCTTCGACTCGAGCCTCGCTTGTTATTAGACTGGTGTCGGCAACTTGAAGCACTGATGGTACACGTGAACCTTCTGAACTCTTTGTCAAAAAGAGGCGAATATGCTATTAATGTTTTGGTAGGTTCTGGTAGGCACGGAAGGCCCTTCCGTTTGAATGTGGCCATTCCCTTGTCATCGTCTGGAGATTCGCACCGAACGAGACGAACGTTGCGAATTCGTGCGACTCCCATCTTGGAGGGGGGGGAAGGTCCTGCAAACAAACGCCACGCGTCATACAGGTAGGTGGGGGGTTCGGTGCCCAGAGATCCGCTTTTGAACCGCCAAAACCCCAATGCGGCCTTCGTCAAACTCAGGTATTGCTGTTTGCCTTATTCTACAGCTCCTACTCCAACTCCTACTCCTACCCCTACTCCACCACTACTACAAGTACCACTGCTACCACCACTCGCCACCGCCACCGCCGCCACCGCCACCGCCGCCGCCGCCGCCGCCGCCACCACCACCACCACCACCACCACCACCACCACCACCACCACCACCACCACCACCACCACCACTTTCCACGACAGCGACCACCACCACTTCCACCACCACGACGACGACCGACTACTGCTACGTACTCCTAATCCTACTCCTACTCCTACTCCTACTCCTACTCCTGCTCATACTCCGACTGCTACTGCTACCGCTACCGCTACCGCTGCTGCTGCTGCTGCTACTGCTACGACTGCTACTATGTCTGCTGCTACTACGACTACTGCTACCACCACTACCACCACGACTGTTCCGCCTCCTTGTCCAACAGCCGAGGTCCTGCTGGGGTCCCGAGAGTGGCGGGTACGGGAGCCTCGACACGACGGGCACGATGGAAGCCGCCCTGAGGACCAGATACATGTATATATTCATAAAATAAATAGACAAACAAATTCATACATAAAGAAACATAAATATAAATACAAATATAAATATAAATATCAATATAAATATAAATAAATAAATAAGTATATATATATACACACATACATATACATATATAAAAACACATACATACATATGTATGCATAACACACACACACACACAAGCAGCTGGTCAGGAGCTACGACGCGGCATTCTTCAACACCGTGGAAGGCGAGATGTGCCTTGCCGGCTGGGATTTCAACCAAGCTTCGACACTCGATTTGGTCAGTGCCGCAAACGAGGCCATCAATCAGGTCACTGCTTCCCTGCCGCAAAGAAAGGGTTTGCTAGGGCCCTAGGGAAATGGGGGAGTGGTATGTATCGAAGCTAAGATTGCGGCTCGAACCCCTGCAAGCAATGTCGCACGCCAAACCCAGCCACCCCTGAGTCTAATCAGCCCTAAGCCTTCAGCCAGAACTCTCCGAAAACCCTAACTCAAGAACCCGAACTCCTAAGCCCCATCTTTAAGTGCAATCCAAGAACTCCGCCGGGGGCCCTGAGCTGCTCTTCATCGATGGCTGCGTGGCTGTTTTTGGAGAGCTGAACTTGGAGCGCTGGCTTCGGTTACCGGCGGATTAGAGCTGAAGCACAAGAAAGTCTTAGGGGTACGGCCTACAGGTATGAGAGCTTTGCCCGACTTGCAGCAGTTGAGAGAGTTTCGATACATGCAGGCTGAGTGTTTGGGATCTCAAATCCCAAGATTTGAGGTTTAGGATTTCGGATGTAACGTGCGGACTAGGGCTAGAGTTTTGCGGCGAAGTGGGGTACAGTACAGCTGTTTGTAACGACGATATGGGACGCATTGCTGCTCCTTGTAATTTACACCTCTATATTTGGGGCGGGCCACGAGATAGCCTCAGAGCCTGAAACCCAGGGAGAGTGCAGGACCCTCGTCCTCAGATTTGCGCCCGGTGACCCAAACCTGAGCTCTCGCAAGAGATCCATGTTAGCATAGTGTCGTGAGAGAAAAAATTGAGATTGCCGTAGGTTTCTGTGATGTTGGAGTCCCAGGGTGAAAAATGAAAACACCACGTACACTTGCAGATGTCGAATGCCAGGCTGGAAAGCAGCCTTCCAGGGGCCCTTACACTAGGAAGTAGGATAAACCAGAAATTGCGTGGATGCTCGCAACAGCTTCTTTCATTTCTCTGTTCGAGCTTGCGAAAGTGTTCATTCGAAGTGTGAAGCGTTGTTGTGTGTTGCTTCAGGGAGTTTGTCTTACCCGATCCAGCCTGCATGACCCCATGAGGGAGGTTTGGTTGTTGGCAGTTTGGGGCACCTCCCTGAGGCTCGTAGCGGTCGTTAGGTCGTGATACGCCCTGCACCCAAGAGTCTGGTCCAAGATCCTCAAGAGCGCAAAAAAGCTTCGAAGCAAAGCTCGAGCATCCGCAATCAGACCCGTCTCACTTGAGGCTACAACACCATCACTGGCAACCTCACAGCGCAATTTGAAGCGGCTGGGGGCACCGTTGTGATGAACGCCACGGTGACTGAGGAGGGGCATCGGGAGCTGAAAGTTTCGCATTCAGTGATTCAGGTGGTGTAGCGCACGTGTGGCAGGGCAAGTATCTAGACGGTTCGAGCTTGAGCTTGGGTCGTCGCGTCGTCGTCGCAGTGGGAGCAGAGTTTCAAAGACACGGACTGCGGCTTGATCTTAAACCCTAAACCCTAAACCCCAAACCCCAAACCCTGAGCCCTGAACCCTAAACCCTAAACCCTCACAGGTGAGCTACTGCACTGGCTTCAAGCAGGGCGGAGTCGTGCCAGCCTGCGCGGCGAAGGTGTCCGCCGTGGAAACTGGAGGCACCGCTGTCTCAGAGTATTCGGCGGACGCGGTGAGTCTTGTTTGGTAACTGAGGCCCAAACCTGAAATCTTCTGCTTTTGGGTTTAGGGTTTAGGGCTTATAGGTACTCGCTCGATGGAGAGTACGCGTATCTTCTTGGTAAGGACCTTGAAGCAGGACCTATCTTGCGGCAAGCCCCCATATGCATAATCCTCCTGCCCCCAAGCCGCGCCCAAGATTAGAATCAACCCCTTCTCTGCTAAAATCTCTGGATAGCCAACCCTAAACCCGAAACCCTAAACCCTAAACCCCAAACCCCCTGATGCTCTTTTGAATTTCGGGGTGGGGTTCCCTCATTGCAGCTACGTTGCGAGGGATGAAGCAGACCTTGGCGCTTTTGTTCTGCCAAGGATCGTTGCCGTGCCTTTGGGCGTCTTGCAAGCGGACACTGAGCAGTCCAGCCAAGCAACCTTAATTTTTTTTTCTGAAAGTCGCTTTTTCCCCCGTTTTGGGAGACCCTGAGCTCAGCCTGCATGTCTCCAAAGAACTGGGGGCAGATAAAGTAGGCAAAAAGCGTAGACTTTTATAAGTACCTGAAAAGGGATCCTCGTTGGGGTTATGATCTCTTACAAGTCCCTAAAGTAAGGATAAAGTGAAGTTCACCCCGCCGCTCCCGGCTTCCCACGCGGACGCGATTGGGCGCATGCAGTTCCGGATCCTTTCGGTACGGATTTTGAATGTTCTGCCTTTGGGGGGTTAGGGTTTAGGGGTATACCCGGACTCTAGGATGAAATGCAAACGATGACGAGTAGAGAGATGCGTTAAGGTTGAAAGTGCAAATCCACACCGACGAGGAGGCCTAAATTTAACGCTACGCGAACCGCCTCGGCCTGGCCAATGCAGCTCCCGGAGAGGAGGGACGTGGGGGGGGTTTGCGGAGGCGGGGCCCGCACCGTCTGCTCCCACTCTTGCCCACAAAACATACCCAAAACATACCCAAAACATACCCATGTCAAATCAAGAAAAGGCCAGATTGGATTAAACCCGACAGGGTGGGCTGCCTGCCTGCCAGACAAAGGGTGCCGTTCTGCTTTACGCTGAACGCTGCCGAAGTGGGTGGTGGGGGGGGGGGGGGGGGGGGGGGGGGGGGGGGGGTGTGGGGCGGGGTGGGGGGGTGGGGGGGGGGGTGGGGCAGTTTTCCCTGCTCCCCGCAAATCGTCCGCTTTCGGATCCCGGTCGCCTACGGGGGGTACCCATTCCAGGGAAAAAAAAGGGGCCGAAATATGGCTTTGGGCTTGGAGGAGGATTTGTAGGTTCTCACAACTTAGACACCTTCGGCCCGAGGCCTCGGCGGATTGTATTGTGCTTCGTATATACATATGCATGCTTGCGTACGGCGTACAGCTAGAGACAGAAGGTTTCGTGTTTAGGAGAAGGAAGACGCCTGAGGTTCGGTGTCGTCAACAAAGCCGTGGCCGTTTTCGACACGGACTTCTGGTCTTCGGGATGTGGCAACGAATTGATGCTTGCAATCAACCAGCAGAATGCCAACATAGACAGCCGAGGCATGTTTCCTTACTTCATGAACACCAACAAGCACTGGACAGGAACGAATGCTTTGCTGGGCTTCGCGGTTGGAAGGTATGCCATCGCATCGGAGCAGAAGACAGATGCGCAAGTGGAGGCTGACTTTATGTCCAGGATCCGGCAGCAGTTTCCGAACGCTCCCAACCCCACCTACTTCATGCGAACGAAGTGGGGATCCGACCCCTTCGCCCATGGAAGCTACACCACTCCTGCAGGTCTCAATGCTCGGATGGATGAGATGAGGATTCTCAGCGGGGCCGTAAGTGCTTCCCTGACACTTGCTGGAGAGCACACCCATCCCAGCTGGGCTGCTACTGTGCACGGAGCTTACCAATCCGGCCTGCGCGCAGCCGATGATATTATGAGCGGGACGGCAACAGGTTCAGGTGATGCCAGCTACTGCATTTCCTCTGCAGGTGTTTTCGTTCTGGCGGTCTTGTACAGGCTTTCCGAGTGCTTTTGAATCAGTCTGTCACTGACCATAACCAGCCTTGTCGAAACCTGGATGTGCACGAGAATTCATGGTTTTCAAGCAACACCGACACGGTGTTTCTTTCATTGCCGTGGCAACAAGCTGCAGGTCCGTAGAAGAATACCAGCGCGTTGCCATATTTTTCTAGCACCACGAAATGAACGATCCTTGCACTGTTTTCCAACTGCACGCAGAAGGAAAAAAAGCAACTCCGTAAGGCATTGAGGGCGAACCAATTTCGGGCTAAAAGTCTTATGCCGTGGCGCATCTTCCAACCTTGACTCCTGGTTCGCCTCCTACATGTCCTTTCTGTTCTTGGAGCTGACGCCTTAGTTCAATGCTACATAGCCTTTGTTTGTAGTGGAAGCCCTAGCCCCTGAATGCCTGAACCCTGAAATCCAACAGCCTTCTACCACGACTCCACGTGATCCTCGAAGTTTCAATTTGGTATCGTCTGCTCAGTCGGGTCATGTACCCCCAAAGCCCTGTTCAAACGGGCAGACATTTTTGAAACCTTCCTTTTGTTGGCCCCCCCAACTCTTTTGTTCAACGCCCTCAACCCACGCATCCCTTTGGACCCCCAAACATGTCTTTTCCACCCCCTACCTGTTTCCTGCTCACACTGGCTGAAGACCTCTATATTGGCTTTAGGTCACCCCGAGAGGGCATTGTTTTGCGCACGATCGCTCTACAGGACCATTGAAACCCATGTGCGGATTGACCCTGAGCTTGCGAGCCGTAGTAACTGAGGCGGCAACCTTTGGCTTTCCTCGTAATACACTAGTTCGCATGTTATATACTGGGCATGTGTGTGTATATATACATATCTATTTATGCATGTCTACAACAGTAATGTATATCCATCGGTGTACATATGTTCTATATATGGATGCGTCTGTTCTTGTATATGATATGCATACATATGTACATCTGATACAATATATATATATATATATATATGTGCACATACATATACAGAACCCACCATAAACTGAATGTTTTCGTCATTCGTGCTGAGGCTGCGGCAGCCCCCAACGTCCCCTTATACAACCCCCACGTGCGCCCAAAACCCTTTTCGAATCCCTTAAAGGGAACTCGAGAGGACCCCGGTCATGTGTTTCGATTTAAGGTGCGGGGTCGCATCGATGTCCTGGAGGTCGCAGCTGCTGCGGCCGAAATAGAGGGTGTGCTAGCAGAGTCTGAATTCCGAGGCACGAGAAAAACAGCATGCTCTTATGGTCTCGAGAAAGTTATCTTATCATATGTAGATCATCGCTTTGTAGGGTGTTGGTTGGTTTTATAGGGCTGCAAGTGCAACACCAGTAAAAGAGTCCCCCAACCAATGAGGAGGCGTGTCTGCGCGCATAGGAGGTATAGCCATGCCACCTCAACTGTTTAGGCGCTTCGAGGCAAGCAAAGCCAGCAGGGTTGCTTTGACTATTTAATAGGAGACAGCATCGTTGTTTTGCCATCCTCCCGATCGATCAAGGCTGAGCAGGGTCTATTTTATGTCCTTGCCCTAAATGTGTTGGAATGTCCTCCGTTTTTGTATTGACAGAGTGGCCCTTCCTGTCACCCTTCTTTCTCTTTTTTGATGCGTGCGGTTGTCTTCTCACGCGCCGGGCACGCATGCGTGACACGGCAGCCCGCTTGAATTGTCACGTCTGTGTCTGTGATGTACCGACCAAGACCGACATGTGTCATGATTGCCTGACCTAACTACATCATCGTGGCTAGAACGGCAACCCTCGTGATTTCACGGGGTTGCTGTCACGTACAGGTCTGTGAGATACTGACCAAAACCGGAATGGATCATCATTGCTGCTTGTCGATATGGTTGATGGTGCCTAGGTCGTCCTGGCCAGAGCGCCAACGATCTTGATTTCACGAGGTTGCTGTCACGTATATCTGTGATACATTGGTCATGATTGACTGACCTCCAACGATTGACGGTTCCCAAGTCCCAACTCGTCCTGGCCGGAACGGCAATTCACTTGATATCAAACCCAAATCCTCGTCTGGAGAGGTCTTTGTCATTCCCACAAGTTTGATACTTATGACGTCTAGGAAAGTCTTGGGCTAAATATATGCTGTAGTCTGTGAACACACCATTCCACTTGTAACGGTTTGGGGTCTTCGTTGGTGCAATTTCCAATCTGCAATGCTCACGAAGTATCATTGCAGCGCCTGTTCTGCAAGTTGGAACGGGCATGTTCTGGGACTGACGGTTCGGAATGTTCGGAGTTGCAGTCTGTAGTGCTGTGATGCAGTTATCATGTTCGGGGCTCTTTCCCCTCAGCCCGAAGTTCCAGGTTCTTGAATTCGGTAGCCTGTTCGGTAGCCTATTCTGAGTTCAAGCACTCGTAGCGATTGCAGGCTAAGTTTTGATTTGCTCCTGCTCGCCTCGCCGCGGCTCAATGTCTCTAGAGTCTGTCAGACACTTTAGCGGAAATGGCTCAGAGATGAACCCCACAGCGTTCTTGATCCCACAGGGTTTCTAGGGTTAACAAGTTCAGGGTTTGCAAGTGACAGGGTTAGGCAACTTGGCTTTGCAGTTTTGTACGTAGCTAGAGTTAGCAGGCCATAGGCCGTTCAAGGGGATAGCCCGCGCTGTCGAGGGCTCTCTGCACCCTGGCTGCAACCAGCATGGTTTGCATGTGATCGCATTGGGAATCGCCTTCTTTCCAACTCAGCACGAAGCTCGTGCCGCGCATGAGGTTGGGAAAGACACCATGTATCACGCTGTTGTGTGCATGTAGCGACACACATTAAAGCCTGACCCCGAAGTTGTCAATTGCCCCTACACCTTAACACAAACAAATCCCGAAATCAAACGTTAAACGCGATGACGAAGTAAAACCCTGAATACCTCCGCTTCCAGGTGGTAGGCCATGGAGACCACGGCCCAAGAGGCCTCCGTGTTTGGGCCTGTAGGGTTTGGAAGGCCTTTGGAGTCTTTGAGGCATGTCCGATGTGTCTGCGCTTGGGTTTCCTGCTTGCTTTGTGTTTTGGGTCTGGGAGTTGGTTCGCATCCTCGGGTGTGTCTGAACAGGGAGATGCAAATGCCGTAGAGTCCCAGCCTAGACTCAAAACCACATGTTTATAGCCGTCTGCACGCGAAGCTTAGCCTTCTAATTTCAAGCGCAAGGGAACGCAACTCCCCAAACTGCCCGCGCACCGGGCTGCTTGTGAGGAGGCTGCCGGCGAAGGGGAGGCTCGAAGAGGGCGGACGCACCAACTCTTCAGAGAAGGGTCTACGGCTTGGGGTTTGGGATTTCAGGGTGGACGTTTCAGGTTTCGGGGTTTGGCCACAGCACAAACATGGGAGTTTGATGTTCAGGTTTGGGGACACTTGCCGAAGGCTTCAAGGCAAGTCTCAGGTTTCAAGATTCGGCGGTCCGTTTCTGCGGATGCAATCGCCTGGTCTCCAACCTTGCCTCGGGTTCCCTGAGCCTCCATACTTGGAGGTTCATGGGTACTTATAACCCCCACTTTTTTGTCCACTTATGGCCTACTTAGGGGACTTAGGGGGTTTGTAAGTGCAGCTATCATTAGGGGTAAGTGCCCGTGAGCCTCCAAGTAGTTCTTGGAACCCGGACCCCCCAGTAGCGTCCGAGCTGGTCAGCTGAGGCCGAAGGTTCGCACAGAGCCCCCCAACTGAAGGGTTTAGGGTTTAGGGTCTAGGGTTCAGGGTTCAGGGTTTATGGGTTTAGGGTTTAGGGTTTAGGGTTTAGGATCAACGCCTCCAGACACTTCCCAAGCCCGAAGCCAACCCATGACCCCAAAAACACAGCTAAGACACAGTTTGGGCTGTCGGGGGGCTGCCCATGACTTCTCCTCGCCAGGAGGTTGTAGCTTCGACCGCTTTCCTGGCAGGGTCCCCAGTGAGACAGTGAAGACGACGCGAAGGGCTTGATGGCTTCATGGGAGTCTCGGCACCCTTCCTTATGTTACACCACGGCATGTCCCATATTTCCGTAGCTGCACACACTCAGCCCCCAAACTTCGCCAAATCTCATGGTAGGGCTTTCAGACGCCGGAAGTAGGATCATGCCGGTTGGGCTGAGGAGCCTCAACCCTTCAAGGCACTAAACCCTTGCCTCCACCATCCTCCGCCCAAGACGCACCCTAAACCCTAAACCCTAAACCCTAAACCCTAAACCCTAAACCCTAAACCCTCAACCCTAAACCCTCAACCCTAAACCCTCAACCCTAAACCCAAAATCCTAAACCCTAAACCCTAAACCCTAAGCCCGAAACCCCGCCCTAGAACTGGCCCCACCCCAAAAACGGTGGGACGCGCCAGGCAAAGCCGGAGGCAGAGGCCGGAACAGGGACCCTTGCTCCGGCCTATATGGGTAGTTCTCTAAGTTAGGGTCTCTTCTTGGGGGTTCCGCAGAAAAGGCGGCACAGAAGCCCTTAATGTAGAGAACTGCCTATGTATGGTTGTGGGGTTCTAAACCCTCCCTAATCCCCACCATCTGAAAACTAGAATCCCGGAATGGCACAAAGAGTGCCCCCGTCGCCCTTTTCGCACAAGAAGCTCCTAGAATCGACATGGTGCTAAGCGCGCCGTCTCAGCAGGCTGTGTAGGGCATGCTGTGCCCAAACCGACGCTCAGAAGCCTCGATGGAGGAGAAGGCATAACGAACACGTGGAAATGAACACAGGAGCCGGACCAACAGATGCATGCTTTGAATGATGCCCAGCAGAGGAACATAGCACCTTCGGAAGCATGAGAGCCAGGACTGGGATAAACAAGTGACACAGTTTACACACCCCTTAAACCTGAGCCCGAAACCCGAGACCCTAAGCCTGTTGGTGCCGAAGGCTGAGAAAGCCGACGCGAAAGCTGAGGAAAGTCCGCAGGCCAGTCTGCAGGTGTTAAGGGTGCTTGGTTTTGGAGTTTGTCAGTTTGGTGCGCCGGGTTGGGATGGTTTGGATCTTCTTTTCTGATTGACCCCTGCAGCGCGCATAGCCCCAAACTCACTTCCTCTCCGAGTTTCTCTCGTTTCTCATGCGCTTGCTAAGCGGCTGGTCACCTGTGAGCTGCTTGAGCCGCCACTTCGAACTGGTTTTTGGGCCTCGGGCCTTCAACTGCCCCAGGATCTCAGACAACTGAACCTGACGTTTGAACTCGTCAGCTGCAAATCGGAGCCTTGCATCCTATCCCTAAACCCGAGACAATGAGATGGATCCCTTCACAGCTGCCTGCTTCTGGAGAGGTCACGGACGCGGCAGCTGAGACCAGTGAGCCTAAAGCAGGTGCCGTGGCGAAACGTCTTCCGTGACTAGGTCCCGGTATGGGCTACAAGAATGAACCCAAAACCCCTAAACCCTAAACCCTAAACCCTAAACCCTAAACCCTAAACCCTAAACTAGACCCTGATGATGTGTGCAAAGGGTTTGCACCAAGGCGGTGCAGGTGCAGGGGATGAGAGATGCCACCTCCATGTCGTGACCCTCTTCTGTCTCTCCAAACAGTTCTTTGTTAGGTTTAGGGTTTAGGGTTCAGGGTTTTAGGGTTTTAGGGTTTTAGGGTGTAGGGTTTAGGGTTTAGGGTTTAGGGTTTTAGGGTTTATTAGGAAGTTTAGGATCAAGGCTCTTGACTTGCCTCTGATGTCAGTGCCCGAATCGCCGGCAGGTTCGTCGACCTCTGGCCCCGATCCTCAAGGTGTGCTGCAGTCTGGAGCTTCGGGTTGTGCTGGATTCAGGGTGTTCCGGCATCAGGGGTTTCAGGACCTCACCTGCGTGGTTCAGTCGAAGAGTCTATTCCGCAAAAAAAAGGAGCGGTGCATTGCCCAGCAGAGCAGGCTCGGGATGTGTAGTGGATAGCTGCAAAGACAACGCATGCCAGACCCTACACCTACCCAGAAACCATCCAGAAAATCTAAGCCTCGAGCCCGAAATCTCACAAAAGCCCAAACCCTGCACATGTCTACGCCTATGGCCACCCCGTGTAGGAGCCTTCTGTCCCATGTAAGCAGGGCTTCTCATGAGGGGGGGTTCTTTCCCAAATCGGGGTCCTTCTGGAGGGCAAGGGTCGTGTCGGCAACGGATGGGCAGCACTTGCGCCCCGGAAGCTTCTGGAATGGCCAGCTTCCGTATGCCAGAGGAGTCCGAGGGCCATGCGGCCACCTGGATGGTCTTCAGGGCCTCCAAGGGCATCTGGGGCGCCGACCTGGCGCCCTACGTCGAGAAGGACCTTGGCCAGATCGCAAGAGCGATTGCCAAGTACGAGCCGGTCAGAATTCTCGTTTCGCCGAAGGATCGCCCAAGGCTGAGCCGACTCGTGGACGGGGTGGGGAACATTGAGGTGTTCGAGGCGGAAGTGGATGACCTCTGGGTGCGCGACACTGGCCCTGTGTTCACAGTCAATGAGGCCGGAGAGCTACGGGCCGTGAAGTTCAACTTCAATGGCTGGGGCAACAAGCAGGCGCATTCGTTGGACAAGCGTGTGGCCGAGACCATTGCCGATCTTGCAGGTGTTGAGCTGGTCACTTCTTCGCTTGTCCTGGAAGGGGGAGGGCTTGAGGTCGATGGGGAGGGAACCGCCATCATCACTGAGAGCTGCGTCCTGAATCGCAACCGCAACCCGGGCGTCACCCGGGACTCTGCGGAGTCTGAACTCAAGGCACTCCTGGGCCTTCACAAGATCATCTGGCTGCCGGGGATTGCCGGGAAAGACATCACGGACGGCCACACGGACTTCTACGCGCGCTTCGCGAAGCCCGGCGTGGTGGTGGCGGGGATCGACTCCGACCCTGCGTCCTTTGACAAGGCCGTGATGGAAAGCCACCTGGCCCTCCTTCAAGAGGCCACTGATGCGAAGGGCCGTGCCCTGGAAGTTGTGACCCTTCCCGTGCCCTCGAAGGTCAGGAGGAAGTCGGAGGACTTTGCAGCTGGCTACGTGAACTTTTACGTGGCCAATGGCGCGGTCCTGGTTCCCCAGTTTGGCGACCCGGCAGCCGACGCGCACGCTCTCAGGACCCTGCAGATGTTGTTTCCGGGAAGGGTCGTGGAGCAGCTGAACATTGACAACGTTGCCGAGGGCGGTGGAGGCATCCACTGCGTCACCCAGCAGCAGCCCAAAGCGATCCCGGCGCCTTAAACGAAAGGAAATGAAAGAAAATGAGGAAAGAGCAGGGAAAAAAAGAAACTCCTTTCATCTCCTTTTGGCTCTGCTTTTTGCCCGTAACCTCCATCTCACACCTACATCATCAACATAAGTACCAGAGCCTTCCAGACACCTCTGCCTTATGGTGGTCACTAACCAAGAAAAGTCGCGACCTCGAGGCCACCTGAACATCGACGCCCCGGCTTTCGTCCCAAAGGTTGAGGAGACCCGGCCACGCTTGGGCGTTCGCATTGGGAGACTCCCCAAGGCTCCAGGAGCCCATAAAAGCCCAAGCCTGACTCCAAACAAGCTCACCTCTGTCTCCCGTCACGGGCTTTTTTTCCGGCATGTTGCGTTCCGGGTGGCTGGTGAATTTGTAGGTAAATCTGAGGGACTGCCGCATGGCCCTCTGAGCCCTTCAACGGAAGGAGGGCCCCGATGTCTTGGAGTTGCGCCGGCCCTGGCGGGCGCCGGGGTTCATAGGGTATCAAGTACAAAGGGGGCTTGAAGGTTTTTTTTGAGGACTTTGTTCAGTACGTGCTGGGTAAGTTCTTGCAGAATAGAGGGGGCAAGCATGTCGATGTGTCTCTCAGAAAGCATCTTATGCCTTGCTCATTGGATGTCCCACTTCACCCGCGAGTCAGAGAGCAGTGTGTGCCCCACAAGCGAAGCTCCTGAAACACCCCAAGACCTGGCTCCCGAGGCTTCCGAACCACCACCGATCCCGGCTGCGGCAGTTCTACCAGGCCTGAGCGCGGGAGCTTGTGGGGTTAGAGCCTGCGGTTGTGCTGGCCATAGTTTTCAATGTTTACAGCTTTGAGTATGGCCACTTGAAGAAAACACCCCGCTCATGTGGCGACCCAGGAGCCTTCAAGCAGGGTTTGGCGTTTGGGTATGGTCCCATCCCCAAGCCCCCAAAGCCCCCCCCTATCTCCAGCTTTTGGAGGGCCTCTCCCCAAACGTCCGAAGCGACTCGGAGGCCATGAATGGATCCTACTGCACCTACTATGCGGCCCGGCCCGGTGTGGGAGGTGTAGGAGCCTTTGGGATGCCGGTTTCTTGGGGTGTCAGTGAAGACCCCCCTCCCCCAACACGTAGCACGCGCTGACCTCTGGTCTCTTGGGGATGAGCCCCTTTGACCTCGGGCCTCTGCCCACTTCGGTGCTCCTGGAGGATGACCGAAGAAAGCCAAATCTGTTCAGATCCTTTCGATGTTTTTTGGGGTTCTCGGTGGGTAAAATCATTAAAACCCTAAACCCTAAACCCTAAACCCTAAACCCTAAACCCTAAACCCTAAACCCTAAACCCTAAACCCTAAACCCAAAACCCAAAACCCAAAACCCAAAACCCTCAACTAGGTTGTATGTATGAACGGCACAAGATTCGGGGCCACCGAGGTGGGCACGTTGAAGAGCTTCAACACGCGGAATGGTTACGGATTCTTGGAGCCCTCGGCCTAGAGTTTAGGGTTTAGGGCTTAGGGTTTAGGGTTTAAGGTTTAGGGTTTAGGGTTTAGAGCGTGGGCTTCGAATGAGAGGCAGGTGTTTGGATGATGTCACGAATCTTGGGAAATTGGGCCTTGGGGGGGGTGTTTTGTTGTCAGGCTGTTTCGGGTTGAGGTAGTTCGGGGTTTTCTTGGTATTCAGTCACTTTCCGGATCATGAATCAAGAATTTAACCGCGACTGGTGTTTACCGTGTCGGAAGTATACCATAGTCTACCCGCAGGGTGAGGGTTGAGGGATGTTGAGGGCTTCAGTTGAACGATTTTCTTGTGAGGGCCTTTCTACAATAAGGCGTCGATTGCCTCTAGAGAACTTTATGAGGAGTTGTTGCAGCTGAGGTGGGTTTGCGTTGTAGCCTTAGGCAAACCCCAAACCGCAAGACCGTGAACCCACAACCCTAAACCCGTTCTAAAGGATTTCTGCCCTGGGGAGAGAACCCTTAAACGACAGGGCCTTTCTCACCGGATTTTCAGCTCACAGGCGCTTTGTGTGTGCGCTTTGCTAAGAATCATGAGCCCTCTCTTTCTTTCTCGAGGTCCGGCGGTAAGTTGAGGACTCTTTGGCACCCCCTTAAGTGTTTTGTTGTTGTTTTCCAAGGTGCAAGGCAAGCAAAGCTGACTGGAACACGGATGCGACTTAGCTGGCAAACACAGGGAGGGCGCGCCAGGGTTGGGCTTCGAGATGCGGTCGAGGGAAGGAATGGATTGGGCGGAGTCCTTCGGCATCCCATTTGAGGCACTTGACTCTCATCCATATCTTCTATAGACTACTTCTACCCAACCCGACCCAGACCCACATGGTAGCCACTCGTCGCTCTTTGTACCAGCGCAGGGTGGGTCCTTCCTGTCCTGAACCCTCAAACCATTACTGGTGACGTTGCTTTGCCATTAACCCAATTGCGAGCCTTGAACTCCAGCGCCCAAAGCCCCGCCTCTTCTGAGGATGGTTGGGATGATGCAAAGTCCTTTTCTTGAGATGCTGGAAGATTTGATTGAAGAGATGCAGGACTAACCTTTAACAGGGTCACTTCCCTGCCTGTGTGTTTCTACTTTTGGTCCGCACGCTTCTGGTTTCCAGAGACGCCGGCACCCAAACGTACCCAAACTGCGAAGCCCCACGGTGGGCCCTCAGCAGCCAACCCCCCATAATCACGGATTCGAGTCTTCCTCCACAAGAAACCACGTCCCCCAGCCCTTTTCCTTGGGCAGGCCCCTGGGTTTTCGGGTTCAGGAAGGCAAGCCCCTGGGCGGCTATCCTATGGCGCTCAAAAACACCCAAGCTGCTGTCGAAGCGTGGGCCGGCGTGTAGGGGTTCAGGGTTCGGGTTTCGATTGGGAGTGCTGCCGGTGCAGAAGAACAATTCTGCATGTCCACGACGCATCCTGACAAGCCCCCCCCGCAAGCTCCCCTACAACCCACCAACATCCCACTCGTCCCCCTCCCGACCTCGCCCGCCATCGCCAGCCGTGATTTTCGCGTGCAGGTCAACACCGCGGCCAGCCCCAGGCCTGCTCTGAAAGGGCTTAGGCAGAAAGACCTTGCTCTCACTTCCCCTCAAGGCCCTGCAGAGAAGAATAAAATAAAAGGGACTTAAAGGAGGGCAAAGGCACGACGTTGAAGCGGGAAATCTAGAGAAATACAAGACCAATTTAAGATAGATGTCGAAATGCAGAAAATAACGTAGATATCATGCCAAACAAAAAGGAACGCAATAGCTACAGAACGAAATGCATAAAAGCAACGACATGCTGGCATAGATCATAAGAACGACGAAGCAACAGAATCATAGCGAGTCAGTATCAAGCCCCGTCCGTGGTGGTGCCGCCATCATGGGTTTCCCCCCCAAGACCCCCTCAAAGTGAAGTCGAAGCGGAAGGGGAACGAGCAGAAGAACCACGCAGACCAGACGCAGCCGTCCTGGTGTGGGCAGGCGTACGATTGCAACGTCTGCCGCGGCTTCCTCCTCGCAGAACAAGGTCTGACGATGTGACCGCTGACCCGAAACGAGCCCCCAAATTTTGCCCTGTGGTCGCCCACAGCGCACCGCCGCTTCCCCCCCCCAAAACACAGAGGTGCTCAGAACGTTGCAGGTGCCACCGTGGTTTCATCTTGAGTGTCAGCTTTTTCAAGGTTTCGGGGTATGGGGGGGTGAGGTCTCTTCTCAACTGGCCTTCGCTCCCAAGCTGGGTGGGGCTAATCTGGGACAGGGTTCGTGGTGCTTCGGAGAGTCGAGGTGTGAGCCCCCCATGGCTGCCAGAGTCCAATGACTGTCACCTGCGCATGCCATTGGACAAGGTTACGCCTGGGAACACACGACCGGGCCCGGCTAGGTTTCGGGCAGCAGATGGGCTCCTGGTGTCGATAATCGACTTAATCTCCTCCCAAAGAGGATCTGTGTCAGAACGCTACTCAGCTAAGCTCTTTTGCCTGTGAGGCCGTTTGGCTCTCTGCAAACGAAGCTGTCATGGGGTAGCAGAACTTGGCGGTGTGCTAGTCTTTGAAGGAGCCATGTTCCCGAGCGCCTGTCCTCGGCTCACTTCTCTGGACAGGTGCGCTGTTAGCGTTCGCGCAGCGCCAGAAAGTGTCCCGGAGTGGCCGCAACATGTTGCTGCAGACTTGTTGGCTTGCATTCGGCATGGGCCGGCTTCTCGAAGGTCGTCGGCGCCAACCCCCTCACCCCCCTTGCGGGCTTCGTGTGTCGGCACCCGAGCCCAAACCCTACCCTCACGACCCAAAATTCTAAACCCTAAACCTGAGCCCTGAAACTTTGGGGCTTGCGACCTTGCATCCTGGCATCCTCCGGCCATCTTCCGCCGAAACAATCCCGCCCTCTCCCCTCTCCACCCGCGCTGCTGGATCAGGCAGCGCTCCAGCTCCTTGCGCTTTTTTGTGCTTCGCGGTGGTGGTTTTCTCGTTGTTTGGTGGTTTTTGTGGGTGCTGCCCGAAGTTACTAGGGCTCAGGATTGGCTTTCAAGATGCCGTTTCTGGGGGAACGGGGGCCGTGGTTTTCCTCAAGGGCACCAGCCGTAGGTCTCCAGGCCCGAAAGTCGCGTGAAGCCTGTGAATCCCCCTGCGATTACCCGCAGCCCCTAATAGCCCTAAGCCCTCATCCCCCAAAACCCCGAAACCCTCAACCCTCACCCGAAACCCCCTTGCAACCCCCCCAAAGTTCCACTCCTTTGACAGGGCCCTCTCGCTGGCATTCCAGCTCCGGGCAATGTGCCTTGGCATGGTTTGTTGGGTTCAGGGTTTAGGTTCGGTCTAGGGTTTAGGGTTCAGGGTTCAGGTTGGGGGTTTTAGGTCAGGGTTCGGGGCTTCGGGATTAGGTTTTTTAGGGGTTGAGTTCCATGCCCCTCAATGTGAGCCTGAGATTCCTCACCACCTTTCGTGCTGGACTCACAGCACCGATGCGTTAGCTGTCGCAAGCCCACGCATTGCTTGCTGCTTTATCTCTGCTTTGGGGTACCAAAGTACCAAGCCTTGTTAATGGGT